CTTCAGAACACGGCCAAACAACCCAAAAAACCCACAACAACCATCAGATCCTGGCCATGAAAGCCTTAAAGAATATAGTGTCAAGTATGTTTCTGTTGCAGAATTAAAATAATTATTAAAAAAGCATGCATGGAAAGTTAAGGTGGTGTTAATTTTTCTGTTGGCTGAATCTGCTGCCTGCTATAGAGTTCTATCCAGTGTCCTTAGAATGAAGTCAGTTTAATCTTAATAATTGTCTAAGATACTTAATGGGGCTGACTACTATTTGCTTTCTTGACTTAAAATTCTAGAAGAGTTAGCTGCACTTCCCATCAGATGAGCTTGAAAAAAACTGAGTTTTCCCACCATTGGGTGAGGTGAATTTTTTCAAATTTTAATATTTTTTTAAAAAATCCACAGTAGGTTTTTCTTTTTACACAAAAATGTATTTTGTGTACAAAAAGATTCGGTCCCCTCCCATTGTTGCCACTGATAAAAAAATCTTGGTTTTGTTTACTGTCATGAAGGAGAAAAGAACCTCATGGCTGTTGACAATATTTGACAGAATGTCTCATTGTGTTGATACACCCTTTTCTGTCAAGGATGATAAAATTTGAAAGTATTGGTAATATCTGTATTATTTAAAGTTCTGCTATTTCCTGCCCCATAATTTACCTCTAGTGACAAATGATAGTAAATGTAAGTAAACATATTCATTGTCTTTGTTTATCAGAGTTGTTAATACTTCTGTTAATGCTGTGACTACACAGAGTAAAATTATAAAATATGTGCCCTATGTTATAATCTAGCAGAATATTGATTTGAAGAGTTTGATTCTTACCTTTGTTGTAGTTCAGGCTGTTAACTGCTAGCTTTTTCCTGTATGATCCCATACAGCTGATGAATACAAAGTCTGTAACTTCCTATTTGAGTTTTGTCACTTTCACTAAACTTCCTTTTTTTTAAGTATTAAAGACCTCATTTTGTAAATGGATTGCAGCTTCTACTGTAAATTTTCCACAACTTGCAGTCATGTTACAGAAACCCTTTGTAATCTAACATGCTTGGTTTTGTTTCTGAATAAAAATATTCCTTCAACATTTTATATTTTCCAGTGTTGATAAGGACATTTATAATTATTTCATAAATGATTAATTGTATTGAGAGAGTGTGTCTTACTGCATCAGTGGAAAATATTTGACAAAGCGTGTCCAGTATTTTGCAGGGCAAGAACTAAAAAATTAGATCTTACTGCATCAGTGGAAAATATTTGACAAAAGAAGTGTACAGCCCATTGTGATTTTCCATTGTACATAGGTGCCAGTGTATGTTGTTGTTTTCCTGTGCTATCAAGGCATTGATAACCTACAGTGATCCTCTGAATTAATGATCTCTAGGACCCATTGTCGACTGCAAACTCAGAGCCTTGGCTTCTTTCATTAAGACTATCCATCTCAAATTTGGTCTTCCTCTTTTCCTGCTGCCTTCTATTTCCCCCCACAATAATATTCACAATGCAGTATTGGCAGTCACACAAATTTCAGTTGCTTGTAGTTTAGGTTAGCTGCTTTGAGAAATGGCTATATATAAAAGAGCCTGGATCCAGTCTACATTGTACTTAGAGGCCGATAAAATAAACTTTTCACATTCAGTGGGATCTGAGTGTGACTAACTTTGTCTAGATATAATTCTAAGGTTTTTAACAAATGAATAGGAATCTTAGGTACCCATTCCCCTCATGTATCTGCAGTAGCAGAAATTACACCTGCACAGCTGCTTCTGTGGTTACGCTTTAGTTCACCTGGCTGACAATCCAGGCATATCCTCCATCAATATAGATTTACTACTTCTTGCCTCCAGTCATTTGGTGTCAAAGGCCACAAAGTCTCATTAGTCCTATAAATAAGTCTGTTTTCTTTCTATCATATTAAGTTTCTCTCAGTGCTGTGGAGTGCTTCTATAGGGTATTCTTTCTTTGCTATAGATAAGAGAGTCTTTTTTCTGTAGGCAACAGTGATGTCGGTTGCTTCTGTGATAATTATGGAACTGTATCATTATGTAGTGAAGCACCAGTACCACATCACTAGTTTCACCCAGACTATATCATTATGGCACTTGAAGCTTTGGCATTGCTGCAGTGCTTAATCTCCCTGCTTGAGTTTACAAAATGTGTTGAAGTGCAAAGGGGAAGAACATAGCAAAACACACTGATTTGTGTTTGTGAGCAGGAGATTAGAGTCATCCCCCGAAGTTGGATGCACTCTGATTTACCCAGCTGTATCCAGGCTTTAGAATAAACACTTGATAGAGTATGTTTGTAGAACTGTCATCTGATAATTATTGCAAGAAACTATCAGGCCCTTTTTAAGACTCAGAGAGTTTTAGGGCATGGACAAAGAGACCTTATTTCTCAGAATTGAATTTATTTTGACAGGGCTGCCAGAGATTCCTTTTAATGGATATTTACTGACGCACATATTTTTATTATGTTGTGCTTTAATTTGGCTTGGAATTATGGGAGTTCATTCTATCCTGCTATTTCATTCTGTATATGGTTTTGGTCCAAACTATCTGAAGGGGGAGGCCTTGTTGCCCACAGAGGTGTGTTTGACAAAAATGCAAAAGAGAGTCTGGTCCCAGCTTATGGGATGCCCTCCCCCAGGGGGGCTAAGTTGGCCCCACTCCCTTTTATTCCTTCAGTGACAGTTAAAGACCTGCCTTTTATGGCAGGCTTTTAAAAACAAAGTGGACAAGACTGAGTCCATTCTAGATGTTGGGCATATGTTCCTTCTAAGTGTGTTTTTGAAACTGTTAAATATTTAAATATTTACATTTTAATTTCCATTGTATGTTTAATTTTTATTTTAAACTTGTAATTTATTCTATTTTTAGACTAATTAATTTGAATTAATTTGTGAAGTACCTTGAATCCCCTCATCAGGAGAAAGGTGGCGTAAAAGTAAAACAACTAAACAAATTAAATAAATTTCTGCAAAAATGTTTTTAATTATGTCTGGTTTTCTTTTATGGGGATTTTAGACATAATTGTGAATTTTATTACATTACTTAGTATGATATTTCTGTTTGCCGACTCCTACCAAGCACAACAGAGGTATAAAACTGAGACAGACTCCAGGGAGCGAGCATCCAGAGTTAGTGAACAGGGAGAGCTAACAGGTGTTTGATAGAGGAAAAGTAGTAAGGAAAGGATCTACTGAAGGAAAAAAGGAAATTAAAGGTGAGACCAAGGAAACAAAGGAAGAGTTTTTATAATAGTGGACCTTCCCAGCATTCTTCAAGGCAGACAAGACAGAGGAAAGGCACTCACAGACGAACAAAAGAAAGTAAAAACGTAAGAAGAATTATGGAGAGAAGAGACAATTCTACTTAAGGCTGTAAGAGAAGTTGAAGAGTACATAAACAGACCTCTTGAGCAGTAGCAGCCAAGGGAGGTACTGGAGGTGGAAGAACTGCAAGACAAAGCAGAAGAGGGGGATGCTGAGAAGAGAACAATGACTGGAATACCAAAATTATATAAATTGTTGAAAACGAATAGAAAGAGAGATGGAGTTGCAATATATGTCGCCTTGGATCCTTTTAAGAACAAAGGCACAGTAAAGATATTTTAAATAAATTAAATAAATATGCCAAAAACAAATTGGTTGTCCCATCAAGAGCATCCGGATTAATATAATCGGGGGAAAACAAAAATAATAATATGGCAGTTCAAGTCTACCTTTGACTGCCCAATCAAGATGAAGATGCAGAGGAAACCTTTGAAAAACAAATTGCAAGGATTTCAGAGATACCGTGTAGTAGTAATGGGACATTTCAGTTATCCTGATATCTGTTTGGAGGCAAATTCTGGCCAATATGGCTCTTCTAAGAAATTCCTGCTTTGTGTTGCTGATAATTTTCTCCTACAAAATGTGGAGGAAGAAACTAGAGGAGTAGCTGTCCTTGACTAGATTTTTGTTTAAATATTCTGTTCTGTTTAATATCACAAAGGAGGAATGGCACACAATTATGGTTATAAGGTGAACCTTCCCTTTCACAGCAAAATGATTCCTTGATGTCTGTATTGCATACAGTTACTCCTTTGGAGAGATCATTCAGAAGTTAATTTTGCAAACTAGTGTTTTGTTGTTCTTGTTGTTTTGATTATTTAGGCTGAATAATTCAGAATATGTAATAACCAGATAGATTGTTTAAATTCAGTTTCTTGTTTCTAATATTTCAGTATATTGGCAATTAAAAGGGCTGGATTGTTTTTTCTAATCTTTCCTGGTTTTCCCTACTCTCTCTTTTATATTCAGTAGTGCCTGTTCAAAAGTAAAACAGACCATCTACAGCAATGTGCAGCCTTCAAACTCCAACTTGTTATGGGATCCAGAATTTATGTTGGATTTTATAGAGAATCCTATCCGCAGCCTCAACTATTCAGTGTTGGGCAAGATACTGAGTGACAATGCACCTAGTCGCTATAGCTTTGTGTGCAATGCACTAATGAATGTGTGCATGGGTCATCAAGATGCAGGAAGGTAAGGTGAAACAGCAAAAATGAAGCTGATTTTAAGAATGTGTAGTTTCAGTTGCTTCTTTCCTTCATTTCCGCTTCTTGTCTTCATTGGTATTGGTAGTTCCAATTTCTATCTTAGGTTTCTTAGTGTTATTTCACTTGGTCACATCCCCAGGATGGAATGTATGTCTACAAATTGTGTTTTATAACTGATAAGGAAAAGTCAAAAATATTGTCTTAAGGTTGCCTAAGCAAAAACTGCTTTAAGTTTCCACCTTGTTTATAGTCTATTACTAGGCTTCCATTAGCATTTCCAAAATACTTATGGTATGAAATGGCATCAATAGTTACTTACCTATGTGTGCCCAATCAAATAGAGAGTGCATCACGTATGTTTTCATCATGAATTCACAGATGCAGTAGCTTCCATGAGACTACTCCTTTGAAATGATGAGTGAGATTCCTCCAACTTGCCTCATGAAATATTATATCCATATCAAAACTGTCCTGGAAACATATCAGGGTCTTGCTGTGATTTTTTTTTTTCTCATGAGAACTCAAGACATGACTTAAGTAACTCAGCCGCTTAATCTAAATTTAACCTTGGGAAGGAGTGCTGGTATGGGGGACTTCTGCAGATTTTGTTTGAGATCTGGGTTCATGTGCTCAGGGACAGCTTTACTGCAAGGGAAGCTGGGCACTAGGATTATGTATTTATCCACAGATGACAGTATTTCTAGAGGCAGTGTTGGATAGTTCATTGAGTTAGGTATCCGGCTGTGGAGACAAGAATGGGCACTAGGATTATGTATTTATCCACATATGACAGTATTTCTAGGCAGTGTTGGATAGTTCAGTGAGTTAGGTATCCGGCTGTGGAGACAAGAGGTTGGGAGTTCCCCACTGTGCGTCCAGGGGGAAGAGCCAGTCAGTGTATCCTTGGGCAAGCTGCAGAATTGCAGGATGCCACCAAAAGCAATGGTAAGCCTAGGTAATCTCTACCTAGAAAACCCTAAAATGGGTTGCCATAAATCAGAAATGATTTAATAGCATGCAGTTATTATAATAGCCTTTTATGAGCACCAGCTGTCACTTTCAGCCACCACTCAGCTGCAGAGGAAAGCACTGGAAAAATGGGGAGGCACATGGTAAGAGAGCATGGTTTGTTAGCAAGGACTGCTGGCATCATGGAAAGCTATTCAAGGCATGCCGAACAGTTCACAGTAATCTTCTGTCAGTGTCACTTCCCATTATTGTTGCTGCCACTCAATAGCATATATTTTTAGAATTTCTCCATCCTATTACTGTTGGAACTTTCAGTTCTCTCCTGCTTATACAACTGTAAATTCCTGAAGACGATGGATGGATCTTATTCGAATGCCTTACCTTTTCACCTTGGATGACTCTGCTCGGAGTCTAGATTTGTAACAGAATCTAGCCTTCTAATGTCACTGCTTTCGCTGACACACTCAGATCCCTTCATGTGTGTGTATACCTCACAGAAAAGCTTATATACTTTTAAAAAATAAGGACCTGTGGAGGATTATTATTTCAAAGGTTTGCCATGAATCATAAGCAATTTAACAATACATAACAAAAAGTATTTTTTTTGGAAAATTGGTAGCGATCTTCATAAAAAGATGTGGGTGTGGCCCATGGAGGTCCAGAGATGTGGAAAAAATTAGAAATGGGTACCTCCCTCTCTCTCTCTAGATTTGCCCATGCCTGCCATATATTATTTAATTTTATTTATTTATTTAAAATATTTTTACTCCATCGTTCTCCTTAAAAAAACACCCATGTTCATATATCAGAATAACTTGGAATTTCAGGTGTTTAAAAAAACACCTAATTAAAAAAATGGAATGTCTGTTGTGTCATGGCTCTTCTTGACGCACCAGTTGTAGACCACTGAACAAACCTTTGGCTGCTGTAATGTTATTATTTATTTATTGGTGATGGTAATGGTAATTTTTATGTATATATTTCTCCCCCATCAGTGGGGTCCAGGCTGTAATGTGGACCCCATTCCTCTTCAGTTAGCATCAATGATTGTTTTCCTTTTGTCTTCTAGGATTAATGACATTGCCAACTTGTGTGCAGAGTTAACCGCGTGCTGTACAGTGCTGAGTTCAGAATGGTTAGGCGTCTTAAAAGCCCTTTGCTGCTCTTCAAACCATGTCTGGGGATTTAATGACCTCCTCTGCAGTGTGGATGTGAGTTCTGAAAATGTTATTAAAAATAGATAGTGACTTATGTTTTTACTTTGTCTTTTGGAATGATCACGGGAAAAAGTTTTACTTTCATCATAGTGGATATTTAAATATTGTTTCATCTTGAAAGGTGAAGAATTAACGAGAGAGGAAAAATCATTAAAATGTCCGTGTCTTCTCAGTTATGAACAGAAGTCAGTTTTATTCCTTATGTAAAGCCTTCCTAATTTAGGGCAATGCATTATCCTGATAATATGGACAGATGATACTAGAACCCATCTGAGCTGGTCTTTCTACCTTTGATTCTGAAAATGTGAATGCCCTAACATGTCTCCCTCTTGCCAGTGTAACTTAGCTAAAGTTCTGTGTACTGCCACACTGAATTGAAGTTGTTTCACTATAGCAACTGTGCTGATGACTCTTGCTGTGTTGGAAACCTGAGCTGTGGTTCCCTTGGCTATTAGGAGGCACAGAGTGAGGATAGAACTGCTCCGTTTGTCTTCATTGCCACCCCTATGTAGCTTAATATGGTTTTGCTACATAGCCATGTGACTCTTTCATGGTCACAAATCCCTAATGGGCTGTAGGATAAATGAAGAAGCAACAGAAGGGTGGCAAAGCTCTCCTTGAATGGTTTAATTCAATTCAATTTATGGCAATGCATTGCTGCAATCTCCAATGAACTATGTTTTGCAGCTGTGGTTCACAGAGCAAAGGGTATGCTTTGGCTTGGTAGGTCAGATGTCAAAGCAGAAATGTGGGAAGAACTGTACCAGTAGTAATCACGTGCAAAGGCCCCCTTACTTGCTTTCTGGTGTCCATTTAGGTCTAGAAAGGACTCCTCTTTCAAACTATGGATAGTTGCTTCCAGTCAGTCTATCTGATATTGGGCTAGATGACTGGCAATAGGAAAGGGGGACATCTGGCCTTCTAGCTGCTGCTGAATTGCAACTCCCATGCCTTACTGTTGACTATGTTGGTTGGAGCTGATGAGAACTGCAGTGCAACAGTGTTAGGAAGACGACATATTCCCCACTCTGACATAAGGCACTTTTTAATGTAGAAGGATGTGAAAAGTAGAAAGTGTAGATGTATCAAAGGGTCATGTAATGCATCCACCCTGTCTTTATTCCCTCCCCCACTCCTCTTTCTCCCACATGGTTTATTTAGTTAATACTGTACTAATACTTCATAGTGAGGGAATTTTCTTTGATTTATTTAATGGCTAGATTTAGAAACAGAAGCAGCAGGTTTTTGAGATTTTATTTCAGTCAAAATATTCGATCCATATAATGTGGTCTGCTGTGTTTCCCTGGGATCAATTAGCTTGAAGAAAAATGATACCACTGTTTTCCTTTTAAGGTGAGCGATCTCTCATTCCATGATTCATTAGCTACCTTCGTTGCTATCCTCATAGCCCGTCAGTGTTTCTTCCTTGAGGATGTAGTCCAGCATGTTGCACTTCCATCTTTACTTACTGCAGGTAAGTTGGTCACAACGTCAGGATGACTCCCTTTGGTCCTTCAGGCTGGAAAACTTCACTCATACAAACAATAAAGAATGTGAAGCCATTTCCTGGTTTCTTGTTGTTGTTTTTTTTAAAGCACAGATATGTGTCTTTCATATATGATTGTCCTGGAGAAAGATTTGGGAGAGGCAAGTAATGCTATGATTACTTTTTACCCCCACTACCCATTCACACCAAAGCAGAAGCCAACTTTTAAAATCGAATTTCTTAAATCTACGACATCTTTTCTATTACTAATTTGTCTGTTTCTATTGCCCACGCTCAAAAATAACTGCATTTGCTTTCTTGCCAGCATATTTCGAAGCAGTTGGTTGTACTCATCTTCCCACACTCTGATAGAACTACATCATTCTCTTTTCAAAATGTCCTGCATTCTTGTGATCTTTTCTCTAGATCATTGCGAATAGATTCTTTCTGCAGAATGTTTACTTTTCCTCTTTCTCTTAAAGTCCGACATAGATTCATGCTTGTCATTCCTAGCTTTCTTCTTTGTTTTCCCTTCCCACAGCTAGTTCTGTTTTTCTTATAACAGTTCTTTATTCCTCCTCCAAAACTCTTCACTTGATTTGCAGACTCTCCTTTACCCATTATCATATTTTTCATAGTTCTATTTTTCCCACAGTCTATTTGATCTACTGAATATGTTCAGCAAATTAAAGAATAACTTACTCTATTTTTAGTTTCATATCAGGAAAAAGTAAAATAGCACAGTAGAATTTATGAAATATATTTGATGGAAACGTCCCTCAAATAATACATTATTTTTGCATGGATTAGCTGCGTGAAATGTTTTCATTTGTTATTTAGAATATAATTTTCTATTTTTACTTGGGAAAATGTTATAGATGAAACTAGAGCTGGATTAGCTGGAAAAGTGTGAGTCACAGGTTCCCAAGGGCCCAGTTATGGCCTCCACACCCCAAAACAGCCTCCTGCTCCACTAACTCCACCTAAATTATTTAAAGAAAAAAATTAAATCCCACTTGCCCCTTCTAGACAGTTCAGTTTTTTGATCTCCCATGAATTGTTTAAGGACTGGGTGGAGGGGTCTTTTCTCCAAACTCGAAGTTATTTCAGATAACGTCTAGTGTTGATTACAGGCCTTTTCTAGAACTAAAACAGCTTAAAGAATTGGGGGGGGGGAGGGCGAAACCGGAGAATTTCCCTCCAATATCCTCTGGAGGTTGTAAGTGTGTTCTAAAAAAGGGAAAAAAGATTGTGGAGAATGGCAGGACCAGGGGATTGTTTTTGGTGTGTGGAAGATGAATATGAACCTCTGAGGGCCAATTGTGGGCTTGTGTGGTGTGGCCCCTCAGCCTCTGGATGTTGCCCATTTCAGGATAAGTTCACACAAACAAGAATTTGTTATGATTGGAATGCTGATAATTCAATGTTGCTTTCCTACTGTAAGATAATATTTGTAGCACTCCTCTTCCATAGCCTGTGGAGACCCAGATGCAGAGCCTGGGGCAAGGATGACATGCAGACTGTTGTTGCACCTCTTCCAAACACCTGAGATTTCCCTGCTACCGACTGGTAAGCACTCCAGATCCATTTTCCAGTCTTCTTCTTTGTACTTGCATTTCAGAGCCAGTATGGTGTACTGGCTAAAGAGCTGGATCAGGGCTGGGGAGATGTGATTTAATTTCCCATGGAGCCAAGAAATTAACTGGTTAATTTTGGCCCATTTCTCTCTCAGTTTGATCTACCCCATAAGGTTGTTATGAGAAGAATGTGAGCTAACTGGAGGAAAAGCAAGATATAAATGTAACTTTTAAATATGTGACAAAGTTCAATTTGAAATCTTCAGAGGAGTGTGATAATGCTGAGTCCAAAACATGCCTTGGCAAAGGGGAGTAGGCGTGCCATTTTGATGTAAAACAGTAATTTGTGAGACACAAGTTTACATATTTAAACAAGTCTGTGGAAGGTCACAAGGGCTGCATTCACTCATGTGCTGGAACCGCAGTTCCTAGAATTCTTCAAGAATTCTGAAATATGGCCAGGAATTGTAGCCCAGAAGTGCCCAAATCTGCAGACTTCCACCCCACCCACCCCCATGGTGCCCTGGTGCTTCTTGGGAATTATAGTTCTTTGAAAGGTGCTCTCTACACAGCCTACTAGGCAGCAAGTTCTATAAGTCCCAGGCAATACTTCAGGAGTTTACTTTAAAAAAATCCAAAACCTAAACAACAACAGGAAGCAAAGCTGCAGAAGCCAATGGCTTGAAATTCAATGGCTTGTTACTGGAGAGTTGCTGTTTTTGGTTTCTGGGCTTCAATATATGGAATTCTTGGGGAATTCTTTAGATTGCAGTCCAAAAACATGACAGAGCACACCCCTAAGGTCCCCATATGTTGTAGCAAAATGGGCAGATGTAGAATAATTAGATCTAAATTTAACAATAATCCCAACTAGAGTAGACCCACTGTATCCATGGGACAACTAGTTGTGAACCATGGCATGCTCTTATCTTTTCCTTGTTTCCTTGCTTAAAGGCAAGTCCTATTCATAATGACTGCATCACAATCTATTTTTGTCTTTAGCAACTGCTAAATGGAAATGAAGAAAATCCAAAAGCACCTTTTGGCATCTGAAAATTTTACAGGTAGATTTGGATGTTGCTGATGCACTGGATTGCTTCAGTAATGCCCAGTCCTGATTGACACTTCACTTCACTTCAACTTCGGCTGAAATTTTGTTATAGGTGCCATTTTACTAGTCAATTAAATCATTGCTGTGATGTGAAGGATGAGGAATAATTCTGCTTGTGGATATGTTTTATGTTCTGTTTTCTTGTTTCTAAATAATGTAAAATTGCCCATGTTCTTCTTATTCAGGGAAATCTTTCCCAGGAATTCGATCATCTTGTGATCGTCACCTCTTAAGTGCTGCTCACAACAGCATAGAGGTTGGTGCTGTGTTTGCTGTTCTGAAAGCAATACTTATGCTTGGTAAGTTCACACTTTACTTTTTTCATTAAATGATATATATCAAATCATATTTAAATCATATACATCAATGAGACTTACTCCCTGGTCAAATTCTTTCCTTGACAGAATAATCTGTACCCATGTGTGAAAGGGGAAGACTAGTCGTTCCTTCTCTGCCATATATCTTCTGAGTGGAGAGCTAAATGGAAAGAAGAGAGAAGCAGTGGGTCCCTAAATGTTTGGAAACCCAACTTTCACCTTTTTTCTGAATGCATGGAGAAGCCCCAGGGTTAAAAACTCTTTTTCATATTTAGCTCTCCACTTGCAAGAACTAGAAAGGGATGAGAGCTAACTTGCTTCCTCTATTCATAGGTTAAAATTAGAGATGGACATGAATCAGAAAACTGGTGATTCATTTTGATTTGTGACTCATCAAGGTTGATGAATTATGAATTTATTATTTTTTATGATGAATTGATGAATCAATTTATCTTTCTTTTTACTTTAAAACCCTATAAAATGCCCCCCTAGCCCCTATAGACATGACATTTGCAGGTAAACTTCCACAGATTCTCCTGTACAAGCTCTGCAGTTTTGGTGAAAATTGGGTTTCGGACATCCAAGTTATACACCAACAAAGAGGACTCTCCAAGAAAGTTCCCTCTAGGCACCTAAGGACACCAAAATCACAGAGAAGCTTCTCCTTACTCTCCTGTACAGTCTCTCCAAATTTGATGAAGATTGGGTTTTAGACATCCTAGTTATGCACCCACAGGGACCCCTCCCCCGAAAGTTCCCTCTGGTACCTCAATCAAAATCAAGTTATACACGTACGAAGTGGGTTTCCCCCATGAATGTGCCCTTTAGCAGCTGGCCTGGGGAAACCCAGTCTTCACCAAACTTAGAGCCTTTGTATAGGGGAGTCAGGGAAAGCTTTTTTACAATTTTGGTGTCTCTTGGTGGTGGTTGGGGTTTGGTTGTAGCCAAACAAATTGACAAATCAATTGATTTGTATTTCTCAGGAGCATTGATTTGGGTGTATACAAATCAACAAATTAGCAACTTTTGAATGAATTTGCTGATTTGTTGTTTAATTCGTGCCCATCTCTAGTTAAGATTAATCCTTTCCAACTGAATAGGGCTTGAATTCCTGAATATGATTGTGCCCTAAAAATTGCTCAATTATGTGCTTAGAATTTTTTTAAATGTAAGATGGACTGAAAAGGTTTTAAATGGACTGTTGTGCTCTGTTGTTTTAATATGCTGCTTCTTTTCTGTAGGTGATGCTGAAATTGGAAGCAGCAGCATCCCTACCTTGAAAAAATCAGATTACTCAGTGCGAAGATTACTGAGTGACCTCAATGAGGACGATTTATGGGATGCTTCCTCACATTCATTGAAATCATGTGGAAAACCTATCTCCATAGAAACTGCTAGTCTTAGTGAATATGCTAGATATGTACTAAGAAGTATATGTCAGCAGGTAACATAGCTCTTTGTTTTCCCTTATTTGGGCATGTGTAGATGTAACTTTCTAGAAATGTGTTTGTCTCTGGTTTTGTTCAACACTGAATAATCTCATAGTAACTAACTATTGTTTCAACAGGTTCTCCTCTTGTGCTTAAATACTCCATTGCATTCATTATACAAACATTCATTATATCTTACCTCACAATAACCTTATGAGAGTACGATTGACCCAAATTTACCCAATGACTTTCATGGAAATTGAAACTAAGTCTCCCAGGCCAACAATTTAAGCTCTCCACCACACAGGTGTACATAGGTTCAAATCCCTGGTCAACTGTGAAGCCCACCAGATGATTTGGGGACAATTGCCAAATGTCTGTTAGCATCACCTATCTTGTTGTAAGGATAATAATGTTGTAACCATCTTGAGTGCTTGAAGTAAAACAAAGATCACCAAAAGATAATCTTGAAGAAAAGATATTAATGCATTAAATTTGGTACCAGGATATCAGTGTATTAACTTTGATAAATAAATAGCAGAGAGTTGGCAGAGCCTTCTGTCCATTTCCCATAGGTTTGTTAATCATTCACTAAGAATGGCTGAGTGAGGAATCAAAAGTGAAGAATGAGGTTCATGAGATGCACACATGTGCAAACTAGCCAAGCCATTTTAAAACCCTACAAAATATGGAGCTGCTAATTTTAGAATTAACTTCCTTGGTCTTGAGTGCAAAGCTTAAAAACAAACAAACCTCCCCTTACCTTGAAGCCATGAAATTAGCAATATCCCATGACTGCTGAAATTAAGTCTGTGTTCATTCTCTTTAATTGAGCAAACATATTTTTTCCCTTTTAGCCATGCCTGGTTCAGATTAATTTTGCAGCAAGTAAAGACTACGTGCAGCAAAGCAGCCAGTCTTTGCTTTTCTGCCCCTCCCACCAAGAATGCCTGGTGTTGCTCTGGGCCTGCCAGGTGATTGCATGTTTGCCTAGAAAGCTATTGTAAAATCAAGAGAGCTGCAGTTGATTTCCCATAAAAGATCCAATGCTCAACAGTACCATATGTTGTTCCCTGATGCAGGATTTGCAGCCACACAGAAACATTCAGAGGTTCCCAATCTTGTGTCCCCAGGTGTTCCTGGACTAAAACTGTCAAAAGCTTTCACTTCTAATGTGCTGGTCAAAATTTCTGAGAGCTGCAGTTCAAGAACACCCAGGATTGGGAACCACTGGTCTAGAGCGATGGACATGCTCAGTGGAATTTTTTTTCAAGCCACTGTGCTTATCTTCCTTATGTCCTGAGGTTCCTCTTGAATTGACTGCCATTCTGTGGCTAAAGCTGGAACTCCCCTATTTCACTGAGTTTGGTGCTCAGTGTTGTGATTTTCTTCAGGGTCATTCACTCATGGACACTTGGAAACCTGAGTACCTTAAGCAAATGCTCGAGAGCAGCAGGATAAAGGCAAACACTCATCTGAACATAGTGTGATCTGAGCCAGAGAACAGCACTCTTGGCTATAGTCCTGTGAGCTACTGTCTCTTGCTTCTTTTTATCAGATCTTTTCAGCAGGCAATTCTGAGGTAGAATGAAGGCAAAAGTGGCTTTGGTGAGAAATTATTCTTGCCAAGGGAATAGGCATGGGCCATTGAACTTGGACTCAGCATCTTTAGATCTGTAGTGATGCTGCATGCAGTGTTGTGGCCTTCAGGGAGAACAGCATTTGCGGACTTGGGATCATATACTCCCAAATTCAAAAGAGGCCTTCAGCCTCTGCTTCTCTATTTGCTTGCTTGAAGGTGACTGTCTTTGCCTCAGTGAGGGGAGACTGGAGACTGTGGCAACATGTACAGATGCTTCCAAGGGCTTTTAAGAGATTCATACATTTTTTTTGAATATTCAAAAAGGTCAGTTCCTTTTAGAGTGATAAAAGGGCACTTATGCACCCAGTTTTATTCCGTAAGAGGATAGTCTCTTAGAAAAATGGAATATTTGCTTTCAACTTTAAAAATATATTTTTCTAAAAGGACAAAAACGAAAAATATAAAATGACAACTGAACTTTAAACTTTTATGACTCTGTGGCATTTTGTGTGAATATTGATTCTTCTTGGTAACTGTTTTTCCCACAGTAAAGTTGTCTTAATTTACATTAAAGTTAAACAATTGGTTTATAGTGCATGCAGTAGGAACTTTTTCCTGGAAAATGTCTTTAAAAACATTTTTAAAATTATGAATTAATAATCAAGACAGTGACTTTGCTAAATATTAACCATTTGTTATAATTCTTAACTTTTTGATAGGAATGGGTGGGAGAGCACTGCTTGAAAGAACCTGAAAGGCTGTGTACTGACAAAGATCTTATCCTGGACCCAGTTCTGTCCAACAAACAAGCACAGAAGTTGTTGCAGCTTATCTGTTATCCTCATGGTGTTAAAGAATGTCCAGAGGGTGATAACCCCCAAAGGCAGCACATCAAGCGGATTCTTCAGGTAATCACTTATAGATATTGAGAGCAAGCGTCGTGTTTTAGTTCTGCTGGTCTTGCCCCTCTTTTTTTTTTTCATCAAGTAGACATTCTGGTTCTGAAAAATAGGGTCATTATTAACAGTAGTTGAATTCAGTTACAATGGTAATATGATTCTTTGCACATGTTTTTATATATAGTTCTTTGCTAAAGTATGGGGTGTGTGTGTGGGGGGGGGAAGATTGGGATTCACACTCACTGGCCCCACCCCCTCTTAACACAAATGCATGTTGTGGCAGGACACAAAAAGGATTCTATACATCACACTAACATACATACAAAATTCTCTCTCTCTCTCTCTCTCTCTCTGTGTCCTCAGCCAGTTGGGATTCTCCCATTTTGTGGAGACACGTGTAACCTGGTGTATTCTCAGGGCCACTTCTCATACATACTGAATGCATGGCTGGCAGGGCTAGTATGTGCTGCAGCCCCATATTTACATGACATATTATTGTCACACAGGTGGAGGTTTGTGTGAACCCCTTGTTGTTCATTTCTTTCCCTGTAGCATTATTGGATACTAATATAGTGGCAAGGGGAGAAAAATGCCAGCATGACCATGTTGGCATGTATTGAGTGATCCTGCAAATTGATCAAGAGTATTAAGAAAACTCTCCCCTCCCCATGGAGTCCAATCCAATCCAAAACAATCCAACACAGTCCAATGCAATGCAACTCAATGCAACCCAGCCCAATCCAATCCAATCCAATCCAATCCAACCCAACACAGTCCAATGCAATGCAACTCAGTGCAACCCAGCCCAATCCAATCCACAGTGATCCATAAATGGGCAGCAAGACTGAAAAAAAGGCACATATAAAGAGAATGAGAGTACCTGAGGTATTTAGAGGAGAAATCATTCTTGTGAAAAACATTAAGAAAAAAATTATCTCCCCCCCCCCTTTTTTGGCACAGAATCTAGACCAGTGGACTCTCCGACAGTCATGGTTGGAAATCCAGTTGGTGATCAAACAGTGTATGAAGGAGCCTGTGAGTATTTCCTTGGATACTTACAAAAATTCAATCTAGTATATTAAAAATTAATTTAGTTATGAACAAACAAATCATGAATGCGCTAGTTTACTTATGTTTCACTGTAGGGTTCTGGGTCTGTGGCTGAAATGAACAGCTTGTTGGATAATATTGCAAAGGCGACAATAGAAGTGTTTCAGCAATCCGCTGATCTAAACAATAACTCTTCTAACTCTGGTATAGGCCTCTTCAATCCAAACTCTGTTGGAAATGCTGACACACATATTACGAGACAGAACAGTAAAAAGACATTCCTAAGGTAATGTAATCAGTCTGAACAGGTAATCATAAATTTGTGTGTTTGTCTGGTTTTTGCAGGAAGGATAAAGAGAGAGGCAAAGCTGTTTGATGTGTTTTAATCATAATTAATAGAGTTAATTTCAAGCAGTGCTTCAAGCACAAAGTCTCCCAGTCCAGTGATTTGTTCTGAGCATGGCAGCTCCATTCCATGCACAGAGTTCTTCTGCATATGAGACTTTCCATTCCCATGACAAGTCACTATGTGTACAGCAAGGAGTATTGACAAAAGTTCTGCAGTTGAAGTGAATGAGAATTTCTGCTGTACTGGAGCTCCATCAGAGAACAGACAGAAATTTGTGTTGGGATGTTGAGCTTCAGCTCCTGACTCATTTATGCCAAATGATCTGAGGCAAAGCTGTTTCAGTTTTTTTTTCTGATCTAATTAGAATTTTCCTCACTTAAAATTATCTGCCTCATTTCAGGAAGGCTAATATTGACATCTCATATTATTGTCAAAGATAATAGTGAAACTATTGAACAATGCTGTGCTTGCAATGTCTTGTATGTTTCATGCTTCCAGTTCTTCTGAACGACAAGGTGTTTGGCTGGTGGCTCCCCTCATTGCAAAGCTGCCTACCTCTGTCCAAGGGAGAGTCTTGAAAGCTGCAGGAGAAGAGCTAGAGAAGGGCCAGCATTTGGGATCATCTTCCAAGAAGGAGAGAGACAGGCAAAAACAAAAGAGGTAGAAATAACTAAAGTGCTGTAAACAGAAAATGGCTGAAGTCAAGTAGTATGTCACAGTTAGAATACATCCTTGAATCAATGGAATGTACCAGAGACTCAACAAATCCCTATTGATCCAATGGGCCTACTCTAGTTGTGACATAATCACAGGATTTTAGCCACTGTTTGATGTACAGACCCTGGGTTTTGTTTGTTTGGTTTTCTCCCAGATTACAGCAACTAAAGCTAAACTCTGATTTTGCAAACAGAGGCTATATGTTATGAAGATTTATAGTATCACAACCTCTAATCTGTTCTAAGATAGTTTTTTCTGGGAAATGAAGGATGTACTTCGAATGTATTCAAAAAATTTCCTTCTTTCTTAATAATAGTTTGCCTGCTTTTAACATGCCTACTGTTTTACTAGGGTTTGTTACAAATGAATCAATTACTTCTTTTAGTGTTTATAGTGTTTTTATAGAGCATCAACACTGCAGCCAATCTATTGGTCATTTGAAAAAGGAAGTGTACTCTTTGTTGAAATAGATGTTGGCTTGGATTAGTTATTGAGAAATGATGGGTAGTCTGACACACTCAGATGTGTTTGTAAATGCACACATTAGAACAGAAGCCATGAGAGTTGGCTGGAGAGTACGATGGTATTTCAAATTCTTTGCATCAATTTGTTTGTCTAAATTCAAAAACATTCTTCAAAATATATACATATCTATTTTCCCCTTCTTTCCTTTCTTTTACTGTGCATATCCCACTTCATGGCTGAAAATCTCACTTTTTGTTTAACTTAATGGATATTAATCTGTATAATTAAATTAAATTGTGAACCGCCCGGAGAGTGCTGATATTAATCTACATTAGTTCTTAGTTGTCAAAATATTTCTACTTCGTATATTTTGCAAGACTGGAAAACAGTCTCTGATGGATGTCCTAGGACTCCATGGCCTAATGCTTCCCATTAAGAGGATGAGAGCATTGGGCACTGCTTTGGCTTACATTTAACAACTGCTGTTGAAGAGCCACATAAAATGCGGAGCTTAGAAAAGAAGCATTTTATACTCCTTGAGATTGTTTGAAGGAAAGCTTGAACCTCTCCTTCTGACCCGTGGGAGATCCTGACATGGGAAAAGCTTGGTTACCTCAATAGACAAGAGGTTATGAGCAGTACATGTATGAAATAGGAAAGAGAGGCATATGGTTCTTCGCCATATTTTGTTCTGGCTGAAGAAACTGTCAGGAAAAAACAATCACACATTTCTATTTATGTTTTGGCCAATAATTAACCATTGGCCTAATCTGAAGGTTGTTGAACTTTATAATCCTTTCCACGTTGATTTGTTTGCCAGGCAATCCCTGAATGTTTCAAAGGCTCCTTGGATGCCTTTGAACAATGCATATAGCAAGTACTTAAATAACATTTTGCAGAACTCCTGAGACTGCTGATTGAGAAGGATGATTGGTAATGACAGCAATAAGTCTTTTGGAGAAGCTTGTCTGCCAAAATAATATAAGAATAGCTCCGATAGATATATCCCACCCTGCATTCTGTTTTCCATAGTTTTCTATTAGATGCCTCTGAGAAGCCCAAAAGCAGAATATGGAAGCTGCAGCCACTCTTCTACTGTTGTTCCCCAGCAGCAGCTCATGGATTACCTGTGAAACCTGGAATTTGCATATAACTATCATGACTAGTAACCTTTAGTAGAATTATGCTCCATGAACCATCTCAGCTTGAGACAAATGCTGCATCTTGGGCAGCTATAGTTGCTCTTCCCATGGAAGAGTTCCCAGAAGACTTCCTGGGAATGGCTTGGTTTGAAAATCTGTGGTGTAATGTTTTGCTTGGAGCTTGCAAGCTTCTTACTAAAACAGTAATAAAGTGTATGTGCAGAAACCCTTTCTAGAGAAAGAGTAGGCAAAGGGAAGGGATTGGAGACAGGAAGGATCAGAATAACACTACTAATTCAATCTTGTCTCTGCCTCTTTTGAAGCATGTCTCTTTTGAGTCAGCAACCTTTCCTTTCTTTGGTACTTACTTGCCTTAAGGGACAGGATGAGCAGCGAGAAGGGCTTCTAACATCTCTACAAAATCAAGTTAATCAGGTAAAAATAAGCAGATAATTCTGTGCTCTGCATCTGACAAATATCAATTATACTAATGGACCCAGACAGATGGGAAACCTAGATGGAAAGGCTATTCCTGTCAGTTTCAGAAAAATAAACAAAGAGAAATATAGGAAGTTTATTGTTTTTCTTTTTTAAATTACCTCTCCCACTTTTTTTCAGTTTAAGGAAAATAATAAATGTTTTAGGATTATAATCAGGGATACAGCAATTATTACTTCCAAAATGGCTCATTCTGTAAATCAGGTCTGCAGTGGTTTTCAGTACCACCTCATTTCAGGGAACTACTAGAGACAAACTCAGGAACATATGTATATTCAGTAGTATTTTGTTTTTCCACATGAAAACCCACTCTAAATATTCCCTTTGTTCCAAAGATGGTTTACCACATGATAGAACTATTCTTTTAAGTCCAATACCTGTTGAACTCATGGAAAATTTAGCACACCAAGGGGAAGGTTTACAGCTCTGTGTGCTTCCTTTGTGCTAGTTTTCTGCTTGCAAAGAGTTTTTCTGTGTGTCACCTCAAAGCAAAAACAAAAAACAGGCATCATCACCTGAAACTTGAAATACCCCTATCACTATATTGGAAGTGCATGTCAGGATGTTAAGTAGAAACAAATTCTATTAAAGTAAAAAGGGGAAATAATATAGCTACTTGATATGTTTAAGATCTGAGAGTATTATTGAAGCATTTAATGATCTAGCATGATTGCCACTTATCCTAAATATCTAAGTAGTGGTTAGGTGGAAGAAGTCAGTGTGAATTTCCTCAGCAGTTAACAGAGGTGGGAGTATCCACTTTTTGTAATCTGTGATTACTCCCTGTCCTTACCAAAATTCCAGGAGAAAACTGTGTTAGTCTGGTAAGAAATCTTACTGTTTTGCCCTACTCATAGGACTACTGCAACTTGATACTGCTGGAGTATCACAGACCCACACAATAGGAACCAGGTCCCATACCATCACAGTAGCATAGGAAAGACATGTGAACAGTAATAATCACATGTCTCCATGTAAGCTTGCTTTAGATCTACTCCAACTACTCCATTACTTGATACTCTTCTTCCATTTCTGCTTGGGCTGCCTTTAGTCCTTCCTCCATTTTGTCTAGCCTTTCATCTGGATCTAATACATTTCTTAACTTATCACCCTTGCAATTTTCCGATCTGTTTCTAATATGAAAAAATCAGAACAAGAAAGGCCAGTTACTTAAAGAAGTACTGCCTATATCAGATCTGATGCAAAGGTTTCTCTTGTTTGTGTATCAAACAAAAAAAATTGTGGATGTACAAAATGGGAACTGACTATTCTCACAGATAACTTAGGAGCCCAAATGTACATTATGGAGCTGCAGTGTGAGGATGTCATTTGCACAAGAAATTATTATTATAATAATAGTGACATTAAAATGTGGCTTCATAATAAAATTTAAAAAATAATCCGAATTACTTTTTGTAGGTGTATGAATAAGTTACAGTGGGCAAGAAGAGCGGAGGGAAAGAAAGATTTAAAAGTATCCTGAATCAGAAAGCATTAATAATGAATTTACAGTTCTAATATTATGATGATTATTATTATCATATTTTTATTCCTAGATATTGAGCAACTGGAGGGAAGAACGTTACCAGGATGATGTCAAAGCTAGACAAATGATGCATGAAGCCTTGCAACTCCGTCTTAATTTGGTAAGGAAAAGGCACGTCAATTGATTAGAATTTTTGTTGTTTTTTCTTTCAGGTTATAAGAGCAACTTGTAACGGATAGTTGTTTATCACTCTGAAGTATTTTTTTTTCTTTAAAACATATTGTTATCCCTTAGCATGTCTGAACCTCATGTTTGCCAAAAAAATTACTTTAATGAGACAAAGTAAATCTTGAACAATGTGACATTTGTGACATCATTCAAATATTTATTGTGTCACTATTAAAGCCTTTCACCCTCAGGATTGCAGCTCAGGGAAGATTCCTCATCTTTTGCTTGTGATGAGAGGTAGTAAAAGAACGCTATTTGAAGATTTGGGAGCTGTTTAATAGACCTGCATTCTGATTTGATGTGCAGAAAACTTGCACCCGGACTTTCTCTATACCCATCTTATTTCTTTAGCTCCAGCTATTGTTGGAACAGGACCTCTGAGACACTTCTTGAATTGCAATCTGACCCATAGGCAGGAAAGATCCTCCCACCTCTGTGACAAAAGGGTAGTGTAATTCCCAAGAATTGACTAGGATAGAATGAAATGAAATGTAATACACACCAGCAATGCAGTTTAAAAGGGAGAAGTCCTTGTTGCTCACAGACTGGCAGCAAGCTTTACCTCTCAAAGAAATTATAATGTTGTCAAATTTCTTGATCAGGTCAACTGCTAAGAGACTTCAATGAATCTTGCATTAAGACTTCTCTAAACATGAATTTGATCTATTGTTTTTGTTGTTGTTTTAAATTCTTCAGTAGCAAGGGTAGATGGTAGTTACAGTACATCTGTTTATGAGCCAAAGAAATATTAGTCTTAACAATACTGTACAGTATTTATTCATGGTTTAAAGCAGCCATTCTCAATGGAGGCCATATAATGGTTTAAAGCAGCCATTCTCAATGGAGCCCATATGGCCCCCTTGGAGGCCTCTGGCACATTTGAAGGGAACCACAGACTGGCCCCCCTTGGAGGCCCCTGGCACATTTGAAGGGAACCACAGACTGGAAGCAGTTCTTTACACACAAATTTATAAGGTTTGTTATGTGACCTATACAATGCTGGTTTGGTCTATATTTCTTTCATATTGTGTTGAAGAGACACTTGTACAGCAAGCCGATGCAAAGAGGCAGTCCTAAAACCAGCAAAATCAGGGAGCTGGACAGGGGACAGATTGTATTTGTCCTCAATGTGGAAGGAATTGTCACTCTCGACTTGGCCTTCTCGGCCACACTAGATGCTGTTCCAAATCCTCCATACAGAGCACGTTAACCATAGTTTCTCGAGATTGAAAGATGCCTAATCTGTGTTTATGGCCATGGTTAAAACAAGGTTGAGGATGGTTGTTAAAAATATCACCAAGGAATTAGGAAAAGAGAGAAAATAATTACTGAAAATACTAATTTTCAGTGTGGGGCAAGCATTTCCTTACATATGAGCTGCTGGTTATTGCAGAGTAGAGTATACCTTAGCTTTAAAGCAACTGAGTGCCTGCACTACAGGAACATGCCACCTGCACTGACATATAGGAGAATTTGGTATGAGAAGAAAGGCTATATCAGAACTGTGTCAGGAACTACAGTATCATGGTCTTTATAGATACAGGAAGGATGCACTGTTCAGGGAAAGAACAGGGATGCACTAGGAATTTATGTTGTCGTAGAATAAGTGATAAATAACAGTGTTGTGCATTCAATCTGCCTTTTTTCCTGTTGTTTTTTAAAATATTCTAGGTGGGTGGAATGTTTGACACAGTGCAAAGGAGTACACAGTGGACTGCAGACTGGGCACTTTTGCTCCTTCAAATAATAACGTCGGGAACAGTTGATATACAAACCAATAAGTATGTCTACATTATTATGTATAAGACCTTTAACATTCTGAATAGTGGTATGTACAAGGCCAAAGAAGATGAAGTACTAGAGCTGTAGGCTGAGTGATTAGTCCCAACCAGAGTAGACCCATTCAGTGATTTTTTCAACTTTTATGTAAAGCTCATGGGTTTAGTGGGTCTACTCTGTTTAAAAGTAGAATAGATTATGGATTTAGTTTCAGTTTTGCCACATTTATTTCTAGATAGATTTCCCATAATTATGGCTTTAGTCAAGGGCAAATAAAGAACTCCAAGAAAAAAATTCATGGGTGGGATGGTGACTGTTCATTTGTTCCCTATTTGGAGCATGCTAAATGAAACGGGAAATGGTGCACATTCCTGCAGGCTTGGGAACCTATGAAAAGGACCCCTAGTGAAGGAGAGGAGCAGGTAGAGTTAAAATTTTACCATCATTACATCTGAAAAAGGGGTTCAGCTCAGAGATAATTTTGTGTCTGCTTTTTGTTCCTGGAAACTTGTCTTATGTTTTGAAATGGTCACTCATGGATAGTATAACTCAAAGCGAAATGTGAAGTGTTTGCTTAACTGGAAGATCAGTCTTAAGAGTGTAATGCAGTGTCTTCCTTTTTTGGGGGGACTCTTAGTGAATTATTCACAACTGTGCTTGACATGCTGAGTGTGCTGATCAATGGAACCTTAGCCTCTGACCTATCAAGTGCATCTCAAGTCGGATCTGAAGAAAACAAAAGAGCATACATGAATTTGGTGAAAAAGCTAAAAGTAAGTTTACCATCTGCCTTCTAAAATCTGTTTCTGTTAAACAAACTTCTGGATCTGCCCTCAAACACCTTATATTGATGGTGAAACAAAGCACATAGAAGTGAGGAAATCATGCAGTAATAATAATTAATTCAATTCATCAGAAAACCTCTGGTTTATGAATGTTGGACATTGTGCTTGTTTAGCCACCATGAAAAATTCCAGAAAATGTCCTGATATTGCTGCACAATATCATGCCTGCATTGCAGCAGGAAAAAGAATGCCAAACTTTACATATCAAGGGCAGCCCAAATGTTGTCAACACCAGTGGCAGCAGTCAAGATATACTACAGAATATCCTCTCGTGCTCACTACCGTTCACAAAGTGACACCAAGAATGGAAAATCCCAGAAGGTGAACAGTTTTTTCAGTTAACTACTTCTCACCCAACCACAAAGCAGCTGTTGTGACTGTTTTATGACAAATGTGAATTAAGAATGGAAAATCCCAGAAGGTGAATAGTTTTTTCAGTTAACTGCTTCTCACCCAACCACAAAGCAGCTGTCGTGACTGTTTTATGACAAATGTGAATTAAGGTGATTTAATGGTATATAACATATTTGGAAGTTTTAAATTACTAAATTACAGTGATAAGGTTTAATGTCTGAGACTGTGACAGGATATAGAAACCAAAACTCTGCTAACTCCCAGAAGGTGAATAGTTTTTTCAGTTAACTGCTTCTCACCCAACCACAAAGCAGCTGTCGTGACTGTTTTATGACAAATGTGAATTAAGGTGATTTAATGGTATATAACATATTTGGAAGTTTTAAATTACTAAATTACAGTGATAAGGTTTAATGTCTGAGACTGTGACAGGATATAGAAACCAAAACTCTGCTAACATTGAGTAAAGCAATGGACAGTAAATTCACAACCTAAGTGAATGAGCTTCTGAATATTTGTTCTCTATTCTTTAAAAAAAATATTTTTACAAGCACACACAGAATATCTTTGCGAGCACACATCCTTGTTTGGACAGGAAGGAGTAAAAATTCCATTGGTCCTGATGGACAGGTTCAAAAGTTCAGATTGCCTCAGACCTGGAGCGGATTTCTCCTTTGAAATCTTGTGTCAGGAGTCTAGTCTTAGAAATCCTTAGATAATGTTTACTGAAAGCACTCAGGGCTAGGACAAATACAAATGCTCTATGCTTTTTTAATGCAGAATACTTCAAATATGCCTTACAAAATGTTATGCTAATTCCTAGAGAAACATGGCAAAATGTTCCCCTTTCTGGAACATTACTTACTCCATTACTTTCTTTAAAGCAAACCTGTATTTTTTCACTCCTTCCATAATAAGCTGCGAACTTTTGTTGATCTGTAATTCACCTTTGCTCATAAATTGTATCGTCTGCCTGGCAAGCCCGTTCCACATATGCTCAGTTTATAACAAAGTCACTGTTTTTCTCATTTGAAAGGCCTATTTTGAGGATCAATATTTCAGCCCCTTCATCCTGAATTCTTTTCAAAGAAAAAAAAACTGTGTAGGGCAACCATTCTCTTTCAAGATAAACAATATTGATATTTTCAATTATATGAGTTATTTTAAATCTGGGGACATTTAGGATTGTATATTTCTGCATGGGGCAAACAGTTTTATATGAAAACCCTTTGCCCAAACTTCCCAAAAATTCGCATCGAGCAAGAGCAAATTGTCTGCTATACTTGTGCCCGATTTGGTGCTGATCTGAATCCAGTTATAATTTTTTGTTTGAGCTGCCCCTATTTTTAGAATTGCCTTGTAGAATGTTGATTTGCTCTTCTGCACAACAACAAGACACAAAATTCCCAGTTTGAGGATGTACTGACTTGATTAAGAGGATGTACTGACTTGATTAAGTGACAAGGAATGAACACCATGAGAGGATGGATGAGGTGGAATTTCACAAGTCTATAGCCCAATTTTGATCATTTGATCAAAGCAGTGTAGCATCTGCTTTGGTCCAACAAGTCTAGAAATGTGAAGCATACTACACATCCCAATACTTGATAGATTATGTCTGATAAATCCATCCAGTAGATAGCTTCCATGTAGAAATAGACATTCTAACATGGATGTCCTACATTAGGTGTGAAAAAGTGTATTGTGTGGGTGGATGTGTGTGAATTTTATATTATTTTATTGCCAAATTGTAATATAGATCTGTATGATCAGGGATCACTTGTTCTGATTCTTCCAAATGGTGTACCACATGCATTGCATGCAAAGGATTCCATATATACTACCTGTATTTCCAGTTAAAAGATCCTTAGATAGCAAATGGTATGAGATATCTCAGCTTGAGATACAGAGAGGCTCAGCTAATCACAGTAGATGATGTTAGGCTAGATGGGAAAGTTAGGCTGTTAACTTCCTATCTGTGATTCTCCAGTTTCATCAAATGTATTAAAAGGGAAAAGTGTAGATGAGTAACTGTTTCTACATCCTTCTATTCATGACTTTTGGAATAACCTTGCTGTATGTCAAAAGTGCTTTATAAGCTCCCCTCTTCCTGCTGGATATAAAACAATTTCGAAACATAGAAATATGCATATATATATAGGAAGAGGGGAGCTTATAAAGCACTTTTAACATAAAGCAAGGTTATTCCAAAAGTCATGAATAAAAATAGTGAAAGTACAAGGAAATGATTCATCAGAAATGTGTCTGATGTTGAATTGCAAAATACTTTTCTTTAAAATTTCTACTTCTTCTTTTTCTTATAGAAAGAACTAGGTGATAAGTGTTCAGAAAGCATTGACAAAGTCCGTCAGCTTCTACCATTGCCCAAACAGATGTGTGACATTATTGCTTGTGAGCCCATGGGATCGCTAATAGATACAAAAGGAAACAAAATTGCTGGATTTGACTCCATAGATAAGAAACAGGCAAGGACAATCATTTATGTTTAAGTTATTCACTGGTTTTGTCATGCATATGGCAATCAAAGGATCACAAGGTACTTCTTTAATAAGTTCTGTCCAATTTGTTTATTTGCTTAAAGCACAAAACTGTAGCAGGAAACTCTTTATGGCATGTGTGTATTCTAATATGTAATAAACTGTTATTCACCACACCATGCAAACTAAAGAATCAATGACCACTATTCTATTTTCTGCCCCAACTAGAGCAGACCCATGAAAAAATTATTTAGTGGGTCTACTTTTGACACTAGGAATAAAATACTGGCCAATGACCTGCCTTTTCCAAACTCAAAGTTCATTCATAAAAGCAATGTTAACAAAAATGCTATTTTCAAGGGTACTTTTGGCCACAAGAAAGAGGAGAAGGATATAAGGTGTGGAAGGTCATGCTGTTGCCCTAGGCACCAAAGTTGCTAGTTACAGCTCTGCAAATATGCATGTATATTTCAATGTGATGAAACGACGTGACAAAAAAACACTGGTGTCATAGTGTATATCTTTAAGATTTACCTTGAATAATCACAGACTGTACCTCTGTCATTTCATTACCATTCAGTTCTACTGTTATCAGATTTTCTTCTTTAACTGCATGTTTTTATGTACCATCTGAAGGTAAGGCTTCATGCTGAAACAACTGCAGAAGCAATACATGTGATCCTTGATATGACTGATTGAAAATACCCAATATTTCATGGCATGGAATAGCCCTGAGTCTGATATGATCTTGATATTACTGATTGAAAGTACCCAATATTTCATGGCATGGAATGGCATGGAATAGCCCTGAGTCTGATATGCCAAAGCCTTCAGGCAAAATTACACGTCTCTCAGAGATGTACACATTGTGTCCAGCATGTCTGAATAAAGCCACAGCCTCTGACACTACTGGGCAGAGCCTTGCCATGATGCACCATGAAGGAGTGACTGGCCCACTCCAGATCCATGGGGTACCTGCTTATAACTCTTGACACTCAACATACTCTCTTCTGGATTCAAATTCTGCTGGCTGTAAACATACTGGCTGGTTATGGACATTTGCCATTTAGTGACTTAAGGTGGTATTGCAAGTTTGAAACATGTAGTTGCTTTTAATTATTAAATAATTTTTAAACCAAATAGTTCTGGGTTGAACAGTCTTGGATACCTCTCAGCAGGCATGCTAAGTTTTAGCTGTCCGTGTTTCATGATCTTGAAGCAATATTTCAACAGAAGATACACACCTTTTAAATTAGATAATATTTTCTCTTTTGCCTGTTCATTGAGTAACTGTATCAGTAATTGTGTTCATGTTGCCCTGTGTTTTGAAGTTTTATTGTAGGCTACTTGCTAGTCTAGGAAAAAAGTAAAAATGTGACAACTAAAAACCATTGCTTTAAATTTTGAATCAGGGGCTTCAAGTCTCAATGAAGCAGAAAATATCACCTTGGGACTTGATTGAGGGCAACAGGAATCCTGCTCCGCTCTCCTGGGCTTGGTTCGGAACTGTCCGGATTGACAGAAAAATAATAAAATATGAGGATGAGCAGCACCTCCTCCTTTATCACACACATCCTAAGCCTAAGCCACGAAGTTACTACCTCGAACCTTTACCTCTTCCTCCTGAAGAGGAGGAGGAGGAAGAAGAGCCCACTACACCTGCATCTCAGGAACCAGAAAGAAGGTCAGCAGAGCTGTCAGATCAGGGAAAACCTCCAACTGATGAAGAAAAGAAGGGGAAAAGCAGGAAAAGAAAGATGAAAACAACTTCCAGAATAGATGTAAGTAGGTTAAAATGCATGGTGTGAAATCAAGAGAACTTTATTGTATTTGAGAGCCTGCCAGCCCCTGTCACATTGGTAGGATTCCCTTCTTCTATTAGCTGCTTCATAAATGAGGATGGAGTTCATAACAAATTGGGATTTATTAAAACAGGAGGGGATGCATCATTCATAGAATCATAGAACTATAGAACAATTGAGTTAGAAGAGGCATATAAGGCCGTTCGGTCCAACCCCCTGCTCAATGCAGGAATCCAAATCAAAGCAGATCTGACAGTTGCTTGTCCAACTTTCTCTTGAATGCCTCCAGCATTGGAGCACTTCCCACTTCCCGAGGTAATTGATTCCATCATTGTACTGCTCGAAAAGTTAAGACATTTTTCCTGATATTCAGCCTAAATCTGGGTTCCTGTAGCTTGAGCCCATTATGTGTACTGCACTCTGTAATGATTGAAAACAGATCCTCTGCATGACTATTTTTCAAATATTTGAAAAGTGCTATTGTATCTCCCCTCAGACTTCTTTTCTTAAGGCTAAACATGCCCAGGTTTTTTTTTTTTCATTCTTTCCTCATAAGGTTTGGTTTCCAGTCCCTTGGCCATCCTTGCTACTTTCCTCTAAACTTGCTCCTACATTGTCATAAACAACACTGAACGGTCCTGAATTAGTTTCCAATACTACTTGGGCATGAAGTTTTGATTCTTTTATTTCTGAGTCTTTAACCACTGTCATTACTACCACCAAGAGTTTCTCAGTCCAGACCTTGCCGGTAGGGTCATCTGAGTTAGGCTGCACAAGGGGGTTGCACAACAAGAATGCCATATATCTGACAATGGGAAAAAGCCTGCTACTCCCGAGATCCTACTTCCCTTGAGGTTACTGTTGGTTCAGCGTGCCCTGCCCTTTACCCTTACCTCTGCTAGGACGTGGCTTTATTTGCTGTCAGTTCCCTAGGAGATCCCTCCTGGCTCAGTGGTAAGACTTGAGAGATGGGTGCAGATTAAAGTGCCTCTCTGCTTCTTCTCTAGTTAACCAAAGTTAGACCAACAACCCAGTCCACAGGTCCTTCATATATACAGTGGTGCCTCACATAGCGAGGTTAATCCGTTCCGGATTAACCTTCGCTATGCGAAAACATCGCTGTATGGATCAAAAAAAGCCATTGGAACGCATTAAACATCATTTAATGCATTCCAAATCGGCAGAAAACTCACCGTACAGCGATGTTTTCCGGGTCCGGCAGCAATTTTCGCGCCCTCGGTAAGTGAGGGGAGGGCGCGAAAACGCTGCACGCAGCCATTTCGGCCGTAGTGAGACCGTGGATCAGCTGTTCGGTGGGTCCAAAATGGCCGCCAGAACTCCCAAAATGGCTGCGCGCAGCGTTTTCGCGCCCTCCCCTCGCTTACCAAGGGTGCGAAAACGCTGCCCGCAGCCATTTCGGGTGTTCCGGCGGCCATTTTGGACCCGCCAAACAGCTGATCCGCGGGTCGCAAAGCGAAGGTCGGTAAGCGAAACGCTTACCGATCTTCGCTATGCGAATTTTGCCCACTGGGGCCGACGCAATGCCTTCGCATTAGCAATCCCGGAAAAGGGATCGCTATGCGAATTCATCGCTATACGAGGTGCTCGTTAAGCGAGGCACCACTGTATATCACAGGTCCTTCATACACATATACACACACCCCGTGTCCCCTGGTGGTTTGAGGTCTTCTGGGATCTCAGTGTCAAAATGTTAGGAGTCTTCCTCAGAGTTCTCCAAAACTTTACCCCATCCTCCCCACTCCTATTATGTTTCCTTTGCCTTTGTTGATGAGTCCTCAGTTTAGATAGAACAGTCTACCTTACCTGCATCCTCACTTCTTCTTTCTTCCCCCTCTGCGACCTCTAAGCCCTTTTTTATAATGTCCGTCTCCCAAGGGTCTTTCTTCCCCTCTAGTGATTGCTCTCTTGTTCCTGGGCTTTCTTCAGTTCCAAGGCTTTTTCTTTGACTTGCCCCTTCTTGGAGAATTCTGGACAAACTCCATCTTTCTTGTCATCAAGGCCTATCTGGATTTCTGATTCTCCCCGGGAGTTATAATTCAGCATAGTTTCTCCCAGGTTTATACAGGAGCTCATAGTGAGAAACTTGGTGGGTCTCAGGGAAAGACAAGATAGCCTGCTGACAGGGGCCTCTGTGTCACTGTCTCTGTCCTTATAGTACTGCAGTGTGTATTCTCTAATGCAAATGTGCCTGGATACTGAAATCCTTGCAGGTCATTCTTCTCTTAATCCACCATCATCAGCCTCCTTACTGAGTGGTCCCAGGTTGCACACTTCCTTTAAAAGAGCCTCATTTAGTTACATTTTGGGTAGTTTACTGGTTGCTGAAGAAAGAATTTTAATTACTAAGTTCTCTATTTTTTGTACTAAAGTGTTTTAAAACTGTTTCTGTTTTTTTATTTCCAGTAATATTTCAAGTATGATCATTTGTGTGCATGTGCGGTAACATAATGGCTGGAATCCTGTCTAGGGCTTGCCCGTCTCCAAATGGAGGCCACCTTATTTGAAACTATTGGGTCTGTGTCTTCCTAAGGAGATAATGGATACTACTTGTTTAAGCCCAGAACATATTGATCCACTTGCACAACACACCATTCCATTAAAAGATCCAAGGAATGGGCTTCTGGTCTACAACTGGTTTTATTATTAATCTCTAGTTGTTTTTAATCTTGTGAGCTGACTTGTGTCTTTGCTTTTGGGAGAGAGGGAATAAAACAAACAAATAAATGAAAATAGAAACTATTTCGTGGCTTAGATATCCAGGTTAGTGAGCTTTACATTAATACATTCCTTATGACAGCTGATCTAATTTGTTCACCATAATTTCCATCTGTGAAGCTGAAGTGTATTTTATGGATTGATTTTATATTGTCAATGTAAGAACCTCTGATCGTTGTAAATGGGCATGATCTAAGATGTTAGTAGTACACACAGAAAATGTTAAACAACAAAGCAGAAGAAAACAGCTTTAAAAAGATGTCACCCATAGCTCACCTTCTCTGAGACTGTGACTCAGTCTGTTTTGTGTAGTAAATAACAATAGGAATGGTTGTAAATTCTTTAATAATTAAGTAGGAAAATTGGCATTATTTATGAGTTAGTAGGGTATGAATGTCAGCAACATTTAACTTTTTCCTATTTTGCTCAAGGATTACCCTCAAAACAACTTATATAGAGTGCCTCCAAACTATTCACCAGTTTCTTCTCAAATGATGCACCATCCTCAGCCTGCTTTGTGGGGCTACAATGTTATGACACAGCCCCAGCCGACAAGCTTCTTTGTCCAGAACCAAGCTCTTCCTCCAGGTATTTCACTGCTCGGTGCAAGAAGGTGTCATGAAGAAGTGGTATTTTTTTTCATTGCTTGATCCTTACTGTTTTTTATTACCTGATCTTACAATGTATATATATAAATAATGGGATAATAGCAAAAAATAAGGGGATTAATGTTGGGCATAGATGTTTGGTAATGTTTTTGTACCATCAGTGGTCAAAAATTGCTCAAAATCAGTTTCTTTAATTTGTTAATTTGATCAGCTTCCAGTAGGAGCAATCTGGCATGATTATGTGTCTGCAGGCATTTAACTGATGAATTATGAGTAAGGGAAAACTTTTTTCCCCCATTGTGTCATTCAGATAATGTCAAGACATCCTACAAAATGATTTCTTTTGCATACTCTAGAGGGCAACAAAGCAAGATGTTAGTTTTAACACTTACTGTAGCTCCAAATGGAATCTGGCAAAACCCACCAGAAATTGTTTGTTTGTTTGTTTGTTTGTTTGTTTGTTTGTTTGTTTGTTTGTTTGTTTGTTTGTTTGTTCGTTCGTTCGTTCGTTCGTTCGTTCGTTCGTTCGTTCGTTCGTTCGTTCGTTCATATTCGGCTTTTACCCCACCCATCTAGATTCTAAACAAATCTACTCTGGGCGGCTGTAAGTTTTTTGTGAATATATTAGATACCCATTTGGCTCCATATATCAAACCATAGAAGCTCTTATTTTTTTCTAAAAAATATCACTGTTGTGCAATTGGTATAAATAAAGCAAAATAATGTGTACCTATGACTGAGATTTTAAAATATTATTTTTAAATAAAACATGAGCTAAATTGAGTTATTCCCAGAGCTAATCCATTGAATTAATTGGGATTTTTGTAAATTAACACTTAGGTAATTAAGTGGGTGAATTCTAGCTGACCATAGCACTTAGAATTGATCACCCCCATTTTTATTGCAGAAGCTTGAAATGGGCTACTTCTTCACATCTTGGTGTTTATGACAATGACTGAATATTGAGCTAGTGTAGAGAAGTGATTAGATTGTAATATAGTGGGATGGGAAGACCTAGAAAGCTTAGTTGGGGCACTTGGTTTGTCATTATCTCACAGCCTACGATACCTTGCAAGGTGTTACAGGGATAAAAGAGTGTAGCAGAGACTTGGAGGTAAGGCAGGACAAAAATGTTGGTGAAAACAACAGCTGTAACAATTAGTATCTTATCGCCAATTCCGAATAAAATAGATCCACTGACACAGTGGGCAAAAACCTGATCCTGCAGTTAACGCTAGTGTAAATTGTACCTGGGCATTGGAAATAATCATATTAAATGAACCAAAAGCTTCCAATTTCTCTTCCCCTCCCCCGCCTGCCCGCCCACCACTGGCAATTCTGCCTTTTGCCCTACGGAAGCCTTTGGGAGCCTTGAGATGCTCGAGAGTGTTTTATAGTTTTAAAAAATCCCCACTAGATCACTACTGGGAGGATTGGGATCGTTGGCGGCAATCTAGCTATGATTTTTTTATGGTTAAAGGCTCCCCTTCTCAAATCCCAAGGGAGCCACAGAACCTGAAAGGGGGTTGGATTCATTTAAATTAATTATTTCTGGTGCCTGGATCTGGTTTACAGTGGCATAGCTAGGTGGAAATGATTTTTGTCCAGTGAGAGTCATATAAGTGTTAATTTACCATTCAGCAATTGATTAAATCATCTGTTCTGGGTGAGACTAGCAATAAGGCACCAGCCTTAGAATTCTGATGAAATATGAATACTGTAGCTAGATTTGAAGGTGTTGCTTCATTTTACTCTGAATAATCTATGACTTCTAAGTTATTTTTATCTGCTCTTAGGCAAGTCTTCAAAAGCAAAGATTGATTACTTAGCATATGTATGCACTGCCTTTCCATCCCAAATGAGATCCAAAGTAACAATAACTAACAAACATTTTAAAAAATAATGGAAGATATAATGATGAATTTTGTAGCTCCAGGGATGGTGATCAGACTCTGCCATTAATACATGTCCTCTGTCTTCCATGGACTTGGAAACAGAACAGACAGCACTGAGTTTTCCATGTACAAATGGAGCTTTCATGTCTCACAAAGAAGCAAAAGCAAAGCCAAGCGTGCTGCTTATATACCACCCCATAGTGCTTCAATCACTCTCTGAGCAGTTTACAAGTTAATTATGCAGGCTACACATTGCCCTCCCTCAGCAAGCTAGGTACTCATTTTACCGACCTCAGAAGGATAGAAGGCTGAGTCAACCTTGAGCCGCGACCTGGGATTGAACCCCAGCTCATGAGCACAGTTTTGGCTGCAGAATAGCGGTTTAACCACTGCACCAGGAGGCTTCTAGCAGAAGAGCCTGGTGCTGCAGCTGTGATATGCTGTGCATTTTTAAGGAGTATCTGGTATTTCTAGAAATCAGTCTACCAGGCCCATCCTAGGAACTGACAGCTACTGTGTACTCTATGGATCATCATAGGCATCCTTCAGTCTTGAAAGACTATGGTAACGTGCTCTGTATGGAGGACTTTGAGCAGCGTCTAGTGTGGCTGAGGAGGCCGATTCGAGAGTGACAGTCTCTTCCACACTGAAGACAAATCCAATCTGTCCCCTGGCCAGCTCCCTGGTTTTGCTGCTTTTGTGACTTCCTCTTTGCCTCAGCCTGCTGGGCAAGGGTCTCTTCAAATTGGGAGAGGCCGTGATGCAATGCCTGCCTCCAGGCTGAACGCTCAGATGTCAGGGTTTCCCATCTGTTGAGGTCCATTCCTAAGGCCTTCAGATCTCGCTTGCAGATATCCTTGTATCGCAGCTGTGGTCTCCCTCTGGGGCGGTTTCCCTGCACTAATTCTCCATACAGGAGATCCTTGGAAACCCGAGCATCAGCCATTCTCACGACGTGCCCAAGCCAATGTAGACGTCGCTGTTTCAGTAATGTATACATGCTAAAAATTCCAGCTCGATCTAGGACTACTCTATTTGGAACTTTGTCCTGCCAGGTGATACCAAGAATCCGTTGGAGGCAACGCATATGGAATGTCTTCAGCTTTCTCTCCTGCCGTGCATGAAGGGTCCAGGACTCACTGCAGTACAGGAGTGTGCTCAGGACACAGGGTCTATAGACCTGGATCTTGGTGTATATTGCCTCCGATTGCGGTAGACGATGGCCCACCTGTAGCATTCAGCTTTGTACACTGAGTGTTCAACTTAACTAGACTCCTTGAAAAAAAAGACATGAAAACATTTGGAATGTTCTTCTTTCCATCTGTTATTTTTTGGTTTGTTGACTTTAGTTAGACATGCTTTGAAGGAAAATTTGTTTTGCTGTATTATGATGGCAGTGATAATCTTGCAGAATCTTTTTCTTCAAAGAGAGAGAGAGAGAGAGAGATGGAAGCTAAGAGAGAAGCTGAAAATATAATAAGTCAATCAATGAATATTTCATATCTTATATTCATAGGTGGCTCCAGACTGGATCCTACTGGCTCCTTTGTCCCAAGCAACACAAAACAAGTGCTATCTAACATGTTGCAAAGGCGTTCTGGAACCATGATGCAGCCCCACTCCATTCATGCTATTACTTCTCAACAGCAACAGCAGCTGCTCCAGATAAAGCTTCTGCAGCAGCAGCAGCAGCAACGACTTTTAAGGCAGCAAGCCCAGGCAAGACTTTTGTAACAGCTTTGTCTTACATTTGAAAGTGGATATTTCATTTGCCAATGGTCTGCATGACCAATTTGAAAGCTAAACCACTATTTTGGCAGCTTACTTTTTTTTCTTTTTCTTTTTGCTGGGGGAAGTAAGTCTGGTTTGTGGGGAGGGTTGGAGATCCATAAGAAACCCTGATGATTCTAGGGCAGAAAACTGTGCCCCAGGGGATTAGAGAAAGACCCAGGGAGGCCAATTATGTTCTTTAGGAAGATTAAGACCTCAAAAATTTGAAAACTCACATTTGCTTAGTTAGTGGAGATGCAGACTTTGTATTCATAAAAAGTAAGGTAAAGGTTCCCCTTGACAATTTGTCCAGTCGCGTCCGACTCTAGGCGGCGGTGCTCATCTCTGTTTCCAACTCATAGAGCTAGCGTTTGTCTGCAAACAATCCTCCGTCAGAACCCACCAGTCCACTTATAGTGCAGTGAATGGCCCACGTGGCCAGCATCATTGTCAGTGCAACGATTCCAGCAGTAGCCAAGCTGCCACAGCCATGTATCCCTGCTTGCCCGGCCACTCTGAAGCTGAGCAGGGAGACGCGTCCTTCTGCCCCTTGCCGGAATGGCTGGTCAAGCAGGGAGTAGCCAGGCTACTGTTGCGATTGGTGCATTGATGATGCCGGGCACGCACACTGCATGCCATGCTGTAAGTGGACTGGCAAGTTCTGGGGATGGGAGGCAATTGGCCTGGCCACTTGTGCCAGTAGGCTTCGTATTAATCTACAAATATAAAGCCCCCATTTCTAAAGTTTTTCTTGTTTATTTCTATACTCTTAAGTCTGACTTGAGGCCTTAATTCTTCTTTCATTTATTGGACCGCAGAAATAAGATTCATAAAACCCCTTCTTTTTTTTAAAAAAAAAATGACTTATAAAATCTTATGAGCCGGGGACTGTCTTGTAATTCTTTATTACTTAGGAAAGTTTCTTTATTAATTTTATTATTAAAAATAATGTGATTTCTTTTTTCCTCTGTGTAATTCTTCCTGTGAGATTAAGCACTGGCTCACACTGTAATTTCTTAAATATGTATGTGGGAACATTGGCATTAATGAGATTTTTTTTCTTTCATATTTTATTGTCAGCAAGTTCAGTAGATACTGCAATGGTATTATTCATGTAAACAACTGGAAAAAAAGGAGAAGGTTCCTCATTCTCTTTTCCATTTTATTTTAAGATACTTGCTTGTCTTTAAATGTGAGAATGAGTACAGCCTCTGGTTTCCTGTTAGAGCAACTTCACAAAAAAAAACTTGTTTTAGCATTTTTTTTCATGTTGGCAAGCTGGTGGCATAGGCTTGAATAGGAGTGTGATACCAGGGTGTAGACTGAAGGACATGGAAGCTAATTCATTTTCCAGTCTTGTCACAAATCATGCTACATAGACAGAGCAGGCCATGACAATATGCAATATGACTAGAATGAGTGCTTGGTGCTTCCGAAGCAAAGTGAGACTAGTTAGGGCATAGACCAGACAGTGGATGCACAGCATGCTGTAAAGTCTGGTGATTTGTAAGTAGTATGAGAGCCAAAGTGACAGAGTCATCAGTGCAATAGTGGATCCTCAAAGGAATTGTGGCTACAGCAGGGTTCAAATCCCTGTTTGGCCATGTAAACTCACAGAGGGTGGGGGAATAGTAGCCACTTCTTAAACATCTCACATACCTTGAAAATTTTAGTAAGTCTTCTGTATATCAGAAGAAATCTGACACCACACAACAGTTGTATTATGGGGCACAACTCTTTCAACCTCGGCTATTATGTTCAAGCTATTCCAATCCCCCCCCCCTTTTGTTAATTGTATTGTGGTGCTTCTGACCTGACATGGAAAAAATAAAGAACTCTGCACTTGGGCTCTGCTGCATTAAATATCCCTGGTGGTAATTATTAGGTGTTGACTGAAATCCTGTTGTGCATCTCTGTGTATGTACCGTATTTCTTTGTGTATAAAATGACAGTTTTCCTAAAATAATTAGAGAAAAAATGAGGGCCGTTTTATACATGGAAGGCAGCAGAAGGAGGCAGAGACCGAGGCAAAGAAGCAGCCGGGCTTGGCCAATTGTTTCCATGCAATTGGGCAGCGGCAATAAATGGGCAACTGCGAGAGGCGGCCAAGCCCGGCTGCTTCTTTGCCTCAGTCTCTGCCTCCTCCTCCTGCTGCCTCCACCCCTGGTTCCGGGCTCATTGATTGTGCAGCCCTTTTATGTCTACTTTTCCCTTCTTTTTGCTAAGCCCCAGGTTTAGGAAGTGGTGAGGAAAGCAGCAATCAAATTTTCAAATGTGGAGTTAGAAAAGGAGGGGTCGTCTTATACATCAGGTTGTCTTATAAACGGAAAAATACGGTACAATGGGAATGACATCAGCAGCAACAACAGCAAATTACCACTGACTTTAGGCTTCTGTTTTTTAGATGCCTGCAACTCCTACACAATATGACAAAGTCCCATGCACCCTGAAATCACCAAAGAAGCCTTTAATTGGGGAAATTTACTGCTGCTGCTGACATCATGTCCATTGCACCTATAGAATTCTGTAAAACAGAATTTCAGTCATTAATAATTATTAAGAGAAATGGCTAGGTATTGAAGAGACCCAGTAATTGATTAGATACCTGGAAATACATTTAAAATGAAAAAGACTTCTGGTGTGCTACCTTCTGTTTCTAGATTATATTTGAAAATCTCTGTTATCTTGTCATTTCCAACCCTGTTGATCCATACTTACAAGTTTTAATTTGCAATAAACAGTTCATTTTTATTTGTATCCCCATTTTCTTCTATTAGGGTCCAACAATTGATCAGGCTGCTATTTTTGCACAACAAGTCCGGCCTACATCTCAGCTTCCACAATATCCAGGGATACAGCAGGCACAGGTACAAATTTTGTTGTAAAATCCATGGGGAAAAGTGATGGTAAAGGAAAGCCTACCTTTTTAAGGAAAGCCTACCTTGTGGTTTCTGTTGAAATATGGTCTGAAGCTTTAATCAGGGCCTAGAATGGCCATTAATGTCTCTATTTTACCCCAATCAGTCAAATGTTCTATGATAAAATATAATATCATGAGGTTTAATTAATAGGGCTAGTTTAGAAGGGATGACAGCTTCTTTTGAGCACATGAGAAGTTTATGGTTCTTGCTAGGTTTGTAGCAACACTACAAGGAGGGATTATTTGTGTGAACTACCTTTATGTGAAAGCTGCCATTTGTGCAGTTCCACCAGCTGAACAAGTGTTATCATAGTCAGGAAAATGCATCCCCTCTGCAGAAGCTGCCCTGCTGAGTGGCACCTGCTTATACAAATATCATTCCTTTGGCACTGATTAGTCTTTCTGACTTCTGCACTGAGAAAGCAAAATTGCCATGGCATTCACAGATGCATATGTAGTCACCAACTGCAGCTCACAAAGAAAAAGTAAAGGCAATTAAAATATGGGGATTTGGGGATTTCAAATAACAAGAATCTAAAGCTTACATAATTCCTTTTGTTGTCATGTTCTCTGTTTAAGCAACAGGATGGTGTCACTTTTTCTTTAGAAGCACAGGATTTATACCATCATGTCTTGGACTGTCTCCCATACAGACCATTCCTCATGGCTATACAATGTATGGGACTCAGATGCCACTACAGTCACAACCCACTGGAAGTTTAGTCTTTTCACCTGCCTACAACCCCAGGGTGTATCAGGCAACACCTTCAAGCCCAGCTCTAATTGAAACGCTAAGGCAGATCCAGCAGCCGCCGAGTGGATACATTCACCAGCAAGCAGCTGCCTACCTTCAGCCTTTAACGGGAAGTCAACGGTAAGATGCCGAGGACTCTGGTAGTCCAGGTATTTTGCTACCTTCATTCTGTTTGAAAATATGATTTGCGTTTGACAATATAGGTGTCTCAGAAATGCTAGTGTCCATCGGACTACAGGCAGATCCTTTTGATCTGAAGAAAGAAGGCAAAAGCCAGAGTGGAGAATCTGAAACCCTGTGGTTGATGTTGGAGTGTAACTCCCACCAGCCCTCTCCACTAGTTACATTAAGTAGAGCTGACACTTCTGTGGCCCAGCACAGGCAGTTGGTGAGTCTGGAATGCTAAATAAGATGTTAATGCCTTCTGTGCCATATTTGTTAATCTCCCTGCTCATAACCAGCTCTGATAAACATACAGCTACGAATCTTTGGTCAATAAGCCTTGCTACTTTGATTGCCATTTCTTATTGCTATGACATTATGCAGAGCCTTCTTTTCAGTTAAAATCTTCTCTTGCTCAGACTGCTCTTGCCTAAGTTTTATGGCCTTAAACCAAAGCTTTGGAGAATTGGCAATCCCCATAGATAAATCATTGGCAGTTGCAGCTCCAAATGTATCTTTCTAGAGACCAGTTTACTAGAAATGATTATTGTGCAACTTCCTAGGTTTTTAATGTGTGCATCTCTCTCTCTCTCTCTCTTTGTGTATGTTTCTTTGTTAAAAAAAATCATAATGTCTGATTTACTGAAATTGTAATAAACCATTAAAACCCTTTGTATACACACTCCATCCTTCCTTGAAAGTGTCCCTGAGACATTGGGGCAAGATGTAAGAACAGCTCTGGCTGCATTTATGTTTTATTTCTCTTATGATGAAGGTTGCCTTGTTTCTCAGACAGGTATCAATATGCCAAGATTATGGGCATTATTTGTAGCATTGTTGTAAGGATGAAAACTTACAGCCATCTCGGGGTTTCCTCCTGTGTTTATTAATCTAAAGATAGTCACTGAAGATCCCACTGAAGACCTGAAACATCTTATAGATTCCAGTCTTGTAGATTTCATCCATTTTCACAATGGTGAAGTACCCCACCAATTTGACAAATCACCATAATTAGCGGTGCCAAATTATGCTTGCCTTGATCACCAATAGGATTCCTAAGCAGTTTCTTAGGTCAGATTAAGTGATACAGGTGGCATATTGTTAGAAGGAGGAATTCCTTAAGTCAGGGATAAATGACCTCTGTAGAGCTGAAGCCCCTTTTCATATTTTCCAGCAGTCCAAGGGCCACACTCCCAATTTGCATATTTAATATTTAAACTTTTTATTTATTTTTTTAATCCTGTGGTTATATGCTGGAAAGGTTGCTACAATTTAAAAAAGATTTTTAAACTAAAAAAGCCATTGCATTTCTTCATGTTTATCTATATTATTTTGAATAACATTCTACACTCACTCATATTTTATTCAGCTTCTGATATTCTACTAGGATTCTAATAATTACTGTCATTTCTGTTTGAGTATCTGTTTTGTGAACTGCCTAGAAGAGTGCATCACACTAATGGGGCAGTATAGAAATCTATTTAATAAACAAACAAACAAACAAACAAACAAACAAACAAACAAACAAACAAACAAACAAACAAACAAACAAACAAATAAAGAATTCAAGTCTAGAAAACTGAACTTGCACATTCAGTTTGGCATGGCTAAAAAATTATCCATATTTAATCCTTTTCCTTCAGTATGAATCACCAGCCTTTGCAGCAGAATTCCTTGGTTGGAGGGACAATAGAAGCAATCCCAGCCTCATCTTCCCACCCAAACCTTAATTCGGTACAGATGCCTCAGGAACAGATGAGACAGAGACAACAAATTCGTCAACAGCGACTCCTTCAGGTCTGGGAATCCCTTCATTATGTCATGGTGTACTGTTATATGTTATTTATAGATATTATTTATTAGTTGCACTTATATCCCACCTCCAGGGAAGTCAAAGTACAGCATGTGGTGTACAAAGTACACTGTCTTCCCAGTGATAGTCTCACAACAACCCTGCGAAACATATCAAAGTAACAGAGAATTCAAGTCTTCAAAAATCATCCATTTAACGAATGTGGGATATTGTGCTTCTGTACCTATTATCCAGAAAGGTATGCCTCAATCCAGGGTATGCCTCAATGTTGCTACGCAATATCATGCCCATGTTCCCAGCATGAAAAAGGATGCCAAGTTTTGCACAGCAATGGATGACCTGAATGTTGACAACACCAATGGCAGCAGTCAAGATGGCCTACAGGATACCCTCTTGTGCTCACTACCATCCACACAAGGGAAAATCCCAAAATATGACTCCTTTTTTTCATCAGTTTACCATTTCTTACCCAAACACAAAACAAGGGTCATGGCTGTTTTTCAACAAGTGGGAACTGTAGTGGGAATCAGGAGCAGAAAGAGCAAATAGGGACTGGTTCCACCCAATGCTATTTCCAGCTCCAAATAGATTATCCCTATCTGGCCCTTGACAGGAAAAATGTCCACTATTTTAAAGATTACTTTATTGCTGTCCACCCTTCTGAATAACAGTATTTAACAGTGTTTGGAACACAGGTAGCTGCTTTATGCTGAGTGAATTTATTGTTGTCTATCGTGACTGAGAATTTCAGGCTGGATTCTTTCTCCCATCCAAGTGCTAGCCAGGTCCACTCCTGCTTAGCTTCTTAAATCAGATGAGAGCAGAATCATGATGGTGTGATGGAAAATTGTCTATAGTATTACAGCACTATAATAACTCTGCCATTTTTTTTAAAGTTGCAGCAACAGCAGCAGCAGCAACAATCCCTTAGTCTCCAAGCAATGCAGCCTCAGCAGCCTTTGGTAAGAGGAGATGTTACTGATTGAGTTTGTTCTGGAGCATTATGCCATTGAACAGTAAGGAGGAGCAGAGTGACAGAATGAGGTAGCCTGCCCCTTCCCTGCCATCTTGGAAAACCAAAATGGGGTAACATGAGAAGTCCTTATCATTCAAATGATTACGTAAGATGGCTTGCAACTCTTTAATTCTGGTGTGTACTGACACAAGGTGAAGTACATACTGGAAACTGCAAATCAGATTTCCTGAAATGTTGGTAGAAGCAGACGTTACTCCTCACACAATGCATTTTGTGTTGCCTTGATTGAGGACATATAATGTGCTTCACTATGCTTTCTAGAGTAAAGAAATAGTCTTTTGAAATCTGTTGTATAACACTTGTGTAAAGACTCCCTCTTGTGGATAACATGGGACTAATGTGGCAAAAATACATTTTATTTGCATTCTGTTGAACTGCACTTCTATGTGTTTGCCTGGCTGACTGGTATGTGTGAATGAGTACAGGCACCGTAGTAAAAGGGATATTGCAAATGTTTAAATAAAGAAATTTGTACCAATGAAGTCACAGTCCAGTTCACCATCTTAATGTAGCAAAGGGTTTTCCCTAACAACATTTCAAGTATTTATAATGCCTTGTCTTTCGAGACTATTAGATAGTTTTAGGTCACTGATTAAGTACTATGTGCACTAAGAAAATTCTCATGTGTCTTGTGACTCTTAAGTAGCCTGTATAGAAGTAAATCCTGGTAATTGTATAGATCTGGCTGTAACACATTGGGGTGGGGTTGGAGAGAGAAGCTGACAGTGTAATTTCAGTGTATATATGCCTACATAAAACAATAATTCTTTCTGTAAGGAACTTCATAAAAGGTGCTTAATAATTTAATAAGAATATTCTAACATGCATCAAAGGTTCTACTTTGGGTAGCCAGAATGGTTGCATGTTGAACCAGAGTAAAATATACATAGAAGGTTAAGTAAGGATTGCTAATACAATATCATGGTTGCAGAGATGTGCAATATAGCAACTCTGCAATCTCTAAACCTTTCTCACATTCTGAAGAGAGACATCTACACAAGAGTCACAGGGAATGGAGGGGGAAAGGCAACTTAAATAAAATAGAGAAACAAATATAAAACAGACTTGAGCTCAGAAAACTAGTTTTAATGCAGTCGATTAATGGACCATATAAAGTTTTCATTCTGAGGCAGTAAGATTTGTTTAGGAAATGGATTTTCAGATCTAAGATTATATGATTCCTACCCTTACCCGGCCACTGTAACAAGAGTTGGACTGCCATTGATCAGTGTTATTTCTGGGGATGAAGTTTTTAAGACCACAGTGTGGAAAATTATTTTTTTAAACAGTAAATTTGTTGCTCTTCTTTTTACGGTGTTTGAAAAATAACCAATTACTCATTGCAGTGTTCAAAGAAGAACTTCTTGCATTATTAGGTGCACTGTTTGATATTAATCTATTACTTTATATTACTTTTTTTTTAAAAAAAGGACTAAATGACATAAAACTTGAGAATTTCTCTGGAATGGCAAAACTCTTGAAAAACTACTGTCACTATCCCTCTAACAATGTTTTCTAGTGCCGGTTGTTGTGGGTTTTTTGGGCTCTTTAAAAATGGCTTCTGAAAATAAATAGAACCATATTTTTCCATATTTTTACCATATTTTTCTGTGTATAAAAGGACACTTTCCCCTTAAATAATTAGACAAAAAATTGACAGTTGTTTTATACATGGAAGGTAGTCACTTTTCCCTCCCTTTTCCGAAGCCACGAGGCTTAGCAAAAAGGAAGGGAAGGCTCCCTTTAGGTAAAGCAGTGATGAAAGGGCTACACAATCGCAGCCCTTTGATCCTGAAGCCCTTGGCGTAGGAAGTGGGTAAAGCAGCCACAAAAGGGCTTCAGGATCAAATGGCTGCAATCGTGCAGCCCTTTCATCACTGTTTTACCTGAAGGGAACCTTCCCTTCCTTTTTGCTAAGCCTCGTGGCTTCACAAAAGGCAAGGAAAAGCAGTGGGCAAAGGGAGCCCTTTGATCCCTGCTTTTCACTTCCTTTTGCTAAGCTCCATGGCTTAGCAAAAGGAAAGGAAACACAGGGATAACATTTTCTAATTTAGGGTTAGAAAAGGGAGGCTCGTCTTATACATTGAGTCATCTTATAAATGGAAAAATACAGTACATCAATAAAGTAACTAAGTTCTTACTCATTACATTATATTGAAAATGTAACTTATCTATAGCATCATCTCCCATTGTTGCTTGGATTTCAGCCCATCTACGCTCCAGACTGGGCTTGCTGTAGAATTCTGCAAATGAAGCAATATGATTATATGCAAAAAGCCTGGCCAAAAGTACGCCCAGATTCTGAATTTTCATCTCTGGGCTACATCAAGGATTAAAGATGATTGGTGCAATCTCTTGTGTAGTTAGAAAGTTTCACATTGAGTTCTAAGATATTGCATGTTCCTCCAGCATACACAACCAAGGGACGTGGTGGCGCTGTGGGCTAAACCTGTGCTGCAGGGTCAGAAGACCAAGCAGTCGTAAGATCGAATCCACGCGACGGAGTGAGCTCCCGTCGCTTGTCCCAGCTCCCGCCAACCTAGCGGTTCGAAAGCATGAAAATGCAAGTAGATAAATAGGGACCACCTTGGTGGGAAGGTAACAGAGTTCCATGTCTAAGTCGCACTGGCCATGTGACCACGGAAGATTGTCTTCAGACAAACGCTGGCTCTATGGCTTGGAAACAGGGATGAGCACCGCCCCCTAGAGTCGAACACGACTGGACAAAAATTGTCAAGGGGAACCTTTACCTTTACCTTACGAGCATACACAAGGCAACAATTTGTTCATCATTTTCATTGTAGTCAAATGAATGCCACATTATTATTTTGTTCTTTGCGTTGTCCAGACCCACCTCAATATCTGCTGCTGCTAACTGCTGGCAAATTTCCATAAGCACTTAATTTGGAGTAATATTAAAATGACCTTCAAATAAACATCAGATACTGAGATGAGTGCTGCAAAAGATAAAAATCCAGTAGCTCAGAAACCCTAAGCCCTCCTGGTCTTGGTCTTCAGTGCTTCAACGTTGTGTACCAAGTAAACAAAATTGCCCTGGCTGATGGGAAACGAAAATTAAGCTTGTACAAACAAGGTTGCACAAGTTGTGCTGAATTTAGGACCATCCCGATCCTTCTCTTTCCCCTCTTCCTACAGGAACGTTGTTTCCTAAAGTCACTATACTACTGAAAGGCAAATTACAGTTTCAGCCAAATCTCCGTTCTTCTGCAGTGTTATTTGAGGAATCTGGTTGCAAAACAATGGAGGAAAAATGAAACTGACAAACAGTGTAACTTCTGTGTATCTTCTTAGTTGCAAGAGAATTAAAAACAGAAGGAAGGGAAGTAAGTGGAGTTACAAAGTGATTCTGCCTAGTTGTTTGAGTTTAGTAATGCAAATCTGTTCTCTATATGGACTTTAAATTTATCAGAAATGTTACTTAAATTATATTTTGGCACCATGATTTTTAATGTTCCTTTTCAACTCTAAATATTGATCTTAACAATGCATGGCCAATGCTACAGTGTACTTCTGGTTTTGCTTTGGTAGAGAGGATACAGCTTCTCCATTAGTCCTTCTAACTACATAGTCTACTTGATTTCTGTGTTGGCCATCTGGTGACGTCCATGGGTACAGCTGTGTGTTTGTTTGTGTACAAAACATATTTTCTACAAGCAGGTTATTGGCTTCACTGAATTCTGACTGAGTCATTCTCCTGCTTTGTTTGTAATTCCTAGTCTAAATTCTCCAGCAACATTTAGTACTGCTTTGTCTCATACTTTTGCATCCCAGTCACCCATGGTTATTAGCACACCTTTTTGGTATGTGATGAATTTCTCCCCATACACTTGCATAAAAGCTTTTGATTTTCTCTTTTTCAGTATTTGTAGAGCATACACATGAATGATTGCTACGTTGGTAGGTTTTTCCAGAAGACACCCATCTGTCATGTATAATTTAACTTAGATTCCTGCATTGGGTTGGACTAGATGGTCTTATAGACCCCTTCCAACTCCATTATTCTGTGATTCTATGATTCTGTGCCATTCACAATGACAGGAAAATTACATCATGCATGCTTTGGCCATAAATATTTTCTCTATATAGCACAAAACAAATTTGTCTAACCTCAGCTGGCCAAGTTTTCTGTTTGCTCTTTCCTGGTTCTTGAGAGTGTTTTTGAAAAGATTGATGGTTCAGAGGGTTTATGCAAGTTCTCTCCTCTGCAACTACCTGCTCCAATCCCTCCTCTCATATTAGAGTTCTAATTTTTTGGCCTGGAAAAGCTGCTGTGGAGAAGAGACATGGAGGCAAAGAGAATCTTTGCTCTTCCTTTGTGCACCCTTCTTGTTTTTCTCCTAAATCATTTCTCCAGATAGAAAATGGCGACAGAAAAGCTGATGAGGAGAAGATGGAGGTAGAGCTGTGCATCATGTCATAGTAGAGCCTGGGTTTAAAGGTTAAAATACCAATGCTTTTCGATTCACATCTTCTGTTATTCTCAAACTTAGATTTGTGTATAGGGTGTGTGTGTATAGGGTGTGTGTGAGATGGGGGGAGAATGGATTTTCAGCACTACCACAGCAATATTCTCACTGTAAGCACACAAAGTATTGAATGGTGGCTTTTTCTCAGCTGGCTCCCTTAAGACCTATTGGTTGTCACAGAAGACAGAAAAAGATCTTGAAGAGAATGGAAACTGCTAGAGCTGGTTTATTCGTAGGCATCACCACAGCAGACCTACTTTTTAGGGCTTTGACTTTTGGAACTTTTGTCTTGATAAGCATTGACTTTTAAAATGTTCTACCATACCAGTCGCCTCATTTAGTAGAGAATTTGTACGTCTTTTGTCTCCTTCTTCTGTGGTTAGGAAATAGTTTGAGAATAGGAGGCAGAGAGCTGAAGACAAGTGTAAATATAAGAGGATAATCCACATGGTAATCCTCTTATTGCTAATAGGGCTTTCAAAGTAGGTGAGATGATTAAGGAATGGTTTTACCAGTTCAATACCCCCACCCTCTGTGAGTTTCCATTGCTAAATGGGGATTCGAACCCTAGTCTCCATCACTCTATCCATTATATCACACTGAGTATCCAAGGAATAGTTCAAAAAATGTATCTGTCTTACCCTGCCAACTCACTCCCATTCATATCTATTACTCTTGCTCTTGGCTAAGAAAAGTTGATTGTCTGAGATGGCAAGACATTTCACCACTTTCATCTCCTCCACGGTTAGTGGAGATGCAAAAGATTTATAAGACTGAGCCAACATTTGATAAACGAATATGTTCAGCCAGCAGTTCTGCTGTGAAGGCAGGTTTATAATTCTGGAGTCCTCTTTTTATATTACCCCACTCTGAGTAATAAAACTAGGGTTGCCTCCTATTGCTAACTGATATGCTTCCTCTTTCATATAGTTATAATGTCAAAGGACTATTTTTGTTTCACTAATGGTCTGTACCTTGCCAATCTGAGCTGAAATTTAAAACCTGGTCAACATAATCTAAGCCACATGGACCATACCTCTCAGGAGAGGAGAAGTGTGATTAGGGTTACATATCTGGCAAACAAGGAGAAGGACAGAATGAATGGGCTGCTTTCATAAGTGTCATCCTTCTTCTTAGGCCAGCAAGAACATGTTGAAGATGTTGTAGATGTAACTCAGTGCTTTGCTAATTTTTTCTGATGTTGCTTATTGCAGTTCCCAAGGCAAGGTTTACAGCAGACACAACAGCAACAACAGACGGCTGCTCTTGTCAGACAACTCCAAAAACAGCTGTCAAGTAAGTATGCAGCACCAGATAAAGGTTTTTAATTTTTGCTCTATACAGCTGGACTTTGCATACTTAAAATACACATTTCAGCCAGTTCGTTTTTTGTTAAATAATAATTCTAGACATAGAATGTTTGTTTTTATTGGCCTTGAGGCCAATATCCTGAAAACTCCAACATGCATGCATAATGTTATCCCATAGTAGTGGGTTTGTGTACGAGATTCTACCTGCATGGATTTATATTTAAATAGTATAGTTGTTACTCAGAATGCCAAACATACAGATCATTTGTGGCCAACTGTGTGATGGGCAGACCCACATTTAGTAGCTTAATTGTCTCTGCTTGCCAGTTCAACAATGCACCCGTGGCAGTAAGTTAAAAAGAGCCCCTGCTTTCACTGATAGAGGTATTCTTATTATCTTTTTCATGTTCGTTAATCAACATTTCCACTTCAAGTTACAGTCAAACAGGCAAATTGGAGTGGGAGAGGGCAGTCCAACAAGGCTTTTAATAATAGATAGGGCCTTTCTTGTTTACAGATACTTTTTGGGATGAGGCTATGCAAATCATCCCAACAAAATCTGGTATGGAGGTAATTTTCTTTAGCAACATTATTTTTTTTAACATTATCCATTGGAAACTGAAACCAGTGATTTTGTGTTTTGTTTTCCTTCCTTTTTCCTTTCTTTTCTTTTTTCATTTCTGGGCAGTGTAGTTGACCCATCTTGAGTGAAATAAGAATATGTCACCACAAGCTCATTAGCTGTATTGGATCATATAGGCTAGTAGCTTGCGAGGCACTTTTTGAGAAAACCTATATGTATGTTCAGGTGAAATTTCTTACAGTGCTTTTTTTAAAGAAATATACTTGGAGTAATTAAAAATTCTTTGTAAATCTCTGGTTCTTAGTCCTACTGTTCCCGATAGTGATAAGACTATATTTCTCAAAAGCACAGAGAAGTAATGTGGGTTATTAATACTTCTAACTAAGATTTTGAAGGGCTTCTGTTTCATTCTATTTATATTGCCAAAGTTAAACAATATATTATAAACCTTATAGCTAAAGGGACATATAGATGGTTTCTCATTTGAGGACGGAGATTGTGTGAATGATATGTACCCTCTGCAGAGAGTCCATTAAACAGATGTATAAATTAATCCATTAATAATTCAAATTTAACTTGTTAAATGTTTTCAATTTTAAACTTCGATACCAGTGAGTAAAATTTCCCATTTCAAAAAGTTACCGTAACTTATTTATTTATTTATTTATTTATTTATTTATTGGATTTATATACCGCCCCATAGCGCTACAAGCACTCTCCGGGCGGTTTACAATTTTAATTATACAGGCTACACATTGCCCCCCCAGCAAGCTGGGTACTCATTTTACCGACCTCGGAAGGATGGAAGGCTGAGTCAACCTTGAACTTAAATTCATTATTTTTTCAACCCAATGTCCTAATGTTTCAGCATAACAGTAGCTTTGTCTTAACAGCTGGGAAATAAGTAAAAGATAGGAGATTATGTAAAACTTATCAAGCTGGGCTGGGACAGGTGCAGAGCTTGGAAACATTCCTTTTTTGCACTAGAACTTCCAGAATGCTCCAATCAGCATGGCCCAGCGGCTCTGCTGGCCAGGGAACTCTGGGAGCTGTAGTTTAAAAAACAAACAAAAAACCAAACATTTCTAAACTCTGGATGGGTGAAGCCAGATTAAAGCAACATGTCAGTGCTTTACATTAGTTGTCAGCCTGTTTAAAACCCATTCTGTCCACGTGTTTCAACTTCCGAAACATTTTAATGTATTTATGGCTTTTAGTTTGAAAATATGTCTGTTTCCCTTGGACAAAACAAAAGGAACTGGTACATCCATGACAGTCCAGATTATAAATGAGAGACAGAGTCTTAGGATGTAAACAGTAGAAATAAGCTCTTTATTCTGTATGTCTTGAGTCGTTAAAACGCTCTGGCTCAACGCGTTTCGGCAAAGCCTTCTTAAGGAGCTGAGCATAATGCAAAACCACACATTAGATATTGAATCATTCACATTGTCTTTTTTTAAAAAAATTATATATATACACACACACAAAAACAAACACACACACACAACTGGCTTGGGACTCTTAACTTTATATAAACACATGTATTTATATAAAGTTGAAAAAATTATATATACACACACACACTAAAACAAACACACACACACAACTGGCTTGGGACTCTTAACTTTATATAAACACATGTATTTATATAAAGTTGAGAGTCCCAAGCCAGGTATATATGTATAATTTTTTTTAAAAAAGAAAATGTGAAGCTTGTTTCTACTTTTTCCATCCTGAGACTCTGTTTCCCTTGGACATAATCAATAAGTAATGAAACAAATAAGAGAGGAAGTTCTCTTTGCTATCAGCTTCGTTTCTGCTTCACTTCACATTTACCTCACTGATTTAGCAACATGACGTAGGATTTTGATTTCAAGTCACATTAATAACCTTCATTTTCACTTACTAGGTAACCAGGCGCAACAGGGTGTGAATCCATATGGTCACCCTTCGCACTTCTGAACCTAGAAGATGGAAGTAAAACAAAGCGTTTGCACTGAAGAATAAGATGACAGAAATTCATGCACTAGTAATTTTGTTCCTTTCTTTGTGCTGCAACTAATGTGAATATGTAAAAAAATAGATGATTTTTTTTTGCATTTAACTAATTAATATATTGGGTCTGTATGAAGAACATTGATGTTGAAAAATACGTGGATTTGGTGCTTTTAGGGTATTAACACTTCCCTCTCCCCAGAAGTTTATAAATCCTAAATTTCTTTTTGTGGAAAACAAGGTACTCAAGAATGGTACTGGACCAAACTACTGACTAAATAGCACTTTTTCCTCCCTTCCTCCCCCCACCGTTCCTTCTTTTCCTTTTCCTTTCTTTTTCCTTTCCTTTTTTTGCAGAATGTTTTCTTCTCCTACTTAATCCATTTTTGGTAAAATGTGTATTGATTTTGGTCATGTTAATTTTGATCAAGTTTGTAGTTTTCATACGCACTTTATAAAAGCATTTGTTTTCAAAGTCCTTGATTTTCCCTCTTGCTTTATTGTGATAATAAAGGTCTGAAGGAAGATCCTTACTTGCATTCAAAATGTTTTTGTGACAACTCTGTGTTTTAACAATAGTAAACTAGGCTCTTCCTTTTGGTTCAAATCTTACCAGCAGGAGCACCTACAAAGTATCACACTGTAGTAAACATAGGGATGTGGGGGGAAAAATCAAGTCGTGAATTTACTGTATTTCTGTAAATCTCACTGGCAATGTTTTGCTCTCCTTGTTTGATACTGGGCTATAAGAGTTCATGTTCCCTCCCACACTGAAATTCATAAATATTTTTCAGAAACTGACTCACTATGTGAGCATTTATTCATACAATGTGCTTAATTTGTGCATTTATTTGCACATCATACTGAACTTTATTCTTTTGCCCATGGATTATGGACACAACAAATACAAATGTTTTTATCCTCAATGAAAGCATGGATTTTGACACATTGTGGCTCTTTGTCAAAAAAAGAAAGAAAGAAAGAATAAAGGATGAATGAGACCAGCACTTTTTTCAGTCAGCAGCAGCATTAGTAAACTATTGTGGCTTTTACACAGAAAACCTTATATTTTGAGCAAAAACAAACAAAGCACTCTTGTACTTTGCATTTTGAAACTTGTATTTTGTGTAGAAATCTCGTATCTTATGTAAAATACACTCCTGCAAATTTTTGCAAAAAACAAACAAACAAACAAAAAACAAAACAGTGCTGGTGTGAAAAAATGCAGAAAAGCTTTTGCACTTTCACCCTGCAGGAAGAAAACAACTGAAATGTTTTGTTGTCACATGCAAGAATGAGATACATGAAAATGTCTATCTGTATTATTAACAAAATGTTTTTATACGTGTATTTTGAGTTGTACACAATTTAACCATACTCATCTTCATATGTTTGCATAGTTGTGCTCATACATTATTTCCCTGAAAAGCCCCATATGCCTTGCAAATGTGTGAGTTCTTGAGCCATGTCTTGCATCATGCGAAAATGCTATTTTTGCTAATATTGTCAAATCCAGCAACATTATTTTCTTTCCCTAATCAAAATGTAAATAATTGTTGAACAGTTTGCTGAGAGACAGATATTAGATGCTCCTGGAGAAGTCACAGGATAATGCTGCAGTCCTGTGCAGTGAGAGTAAGTACCCATGCGTAAGCACCACTAATGCTCAAAGTTACAATGCGATATTTGTACTTAGAGACTAGACTCATTAAGCAAAAAGGTTTTTCTGTTACTTCCCATAGTTCTGTAAAACATGTTAATAGAGACTCCATAGCATACAGATGCTCAAACTGATTTTTCAATAAAAACTGATTTTATTTAAAAAAAAAACTGGAAAAGTTTTCCAGTAATGTGAAGGGGAAAAAAAGGTTTTGTGAAATGCCTTAAGTTAAACTTATTTTCATAGTACTCTAGTCTTGAACCTACCAGTGGACAGGAGGAGAGGAAGAAGATGGATTTTGTAGTGCGAGTTCTTGCTCACAGTTTTATACCATATAGGCTGCTTATTAAGAACTGATTGTTACTTATCATACAAAAGGGGTGAGGAACCTTTTGGTTCTCCAGATGTTTTAGTTCCCTTTCAACTCTACTCAGTTTGTTCAGGAAACAGGGCCTGTGGAAGCTACAACTCAAAAACATCTGGAGAAACAAAGATTCCTCACTAGTGCCACCAAAACACCTAATTAACAAGCTAGTAAATTTAAACCTGGACTGTACTAGATTGGACTGTACTAGATTAGATTGCTGAAGGTTTACATTACAGAATGGAGAAAAAAATCATACAACTTAACATGTTAAGAAGAAGGTTTGATTGAAATTCGAATTTTTGTGTGGAGGAACATTTGACTTTAAATTCTCAAATGCATTCTAAGCAGCTATAGTCCAGGCACAGGTTTACCACCTGATCTACTGTTTGTGAGAGCCAAGCCTTAGTTTTCTAGTTATAGGAGTATTTACTCATTAGTTTGTACTGTAGTTATGCAAGAGTATAAGCTTTGGTTATTTTGGTTGTGTAAATAGAGCTGTAGTTGTAAATTTGCTGCAAAAGCACAAGTAAATTATTAATCAAAATTTATTACTGTACAATGGAAACTATTTTAACCTTGTGAAAGTCATATTTCCTCATTTTTGAGTAAAAACAATCAGAAGAAATTACTATTTTGTGAATTTTGAGTATTCTGTAATAATTTTTCAATCTAGATCTACAGATTTCGAATGAGATTTGTAGAGCATTTACAAATATTTGGGACTATTTTAGCATGTTTTCCATATGAAGTTTTTGTTTGCCTTGTGATAAGATTACAATAGGGCTTACTGTGAATAAAACAACACCATGCAAACTAGTCAAACTATATAGAATATGGTACCAGCTGAATGCACCTCTACCTTCTAAAAGGATATGAGAATCTCTATGGTAATAAATGCCTTTGTGAACTGCTGTGAGAACACTTAGTTGCATAAAGTAAAGACTTTCATCTTCATTGTCAATAATCTTATACATTCAAATGGTTTGAAATATGGAGATACCCCTGTTTTCCCTAACATTTATCTCGGTTTTCTTGACAAACTATTCAGAGCTATAAATATATCCCTTTTTGTTGTTGTTCTTGGATGACTCTCATTAATTCCTTTCATAGCAAAGGTGGAATAATATTTGTTGGTCTGCTCCCAGTTACATACGCTTAGCAGTGACTGCCTAATATCTTCTGATCATGCCTCTTCAGGCATTAGCCCTGAAAGTGTGTGTGGGTGAAATCATTATGAGGGATCAAGGGCTGGGGGTTGCATGTAAGTTCCATTGACACTTCCCTATCCCATCAGAAGTCAGGCAGTTACGTGTTCACTGTGAAGGTCTGTGGAGGGCCTTGCCCAGGAGCCCTGCCATATCAGTTTCCAATCTGATGTGTGTTTACAGGTACCTCTGCAGTGAACATGTGAAGGCCTGCCTATTTCCTGGCTTTGATGGGAATGTGGGGGTGGATCTTACCTGCATCACAAAGTTACTACAGTATAGTGAGCCATATACTCATTTAAGGCTTAATACCTGAATGGGGTTATTGTGTATGCATACTTAAGAATACTGGGTGCCCCAATATTGTTTTGACTTTAGTTAACATTGGATCTCATTCAGTGTTTTGTTGTCACTTTTTCAAGTTTGCAGACTATTTTGGAGGCCTTTGTAGTTTTTGTTGGACTTTACTGTTCTAAAAAATCTGGTTTAATTGCTTGTTTTGTTCATTATGTCAAGTAGCCAAAGAACATACCTAAATGGTGTTTGAAACTACTTCACTGACGCTTTTTGACATTTCCTCTTCCCTTTTCTTGCCCAAGCACACATAGTTTTAAATGGTGTTTAAATAAAACAGTTGCTTTATTGTTGGGTTAGATCAGCTTTTCCCCAGCTAGTGCCATAATCAGCCGCAACCTGTATGCTCAGTGATTATGAGTGCTCAGAGTTAAAGGACAAAGCATTTAGAAGAACCAAAGTTGAGTATTTAGTAATATCCATCCAGAACTTGGAATGTTAATTTTTGTAAAGGAAATTGTTGTCTTATTACTCAGCACCCATGTTATCATAATTTTTGCTTACCAAAGTAGTACATTACATTGCATGTTATTGACATGCTGCCTTATCATTAACAGCAAACAGGAAAATACCAGAAAATACAGAAAGTAATTATAAAATATTGTCACCAATGCAGCAACTGCTAAGGTTGGCCTGGTGTCTGTGTGGCTTTTAGGGTTTACCTGTTTTCCCACACACACACATGCACACAACTTACAATCACATTATGAATAAATGTGTTTATACTTTCAGCACAGATGCTTCTAGATGGTGACCTTCTACCCTAGAACACAGGGACAAGCTTTGTCCACCTGTGCATAGTAATGTAAGATCTTAGAAATAGCTGCTCCTGCAACAGGGTTCCTCCAGCAGATAGATGGCTTAAAGGAAGCCTTACTGGAGGGGATTCATCATCTTCATCTTAGAACTGCAGAGCTGGATGAGACCCAGGACCTGCCCTCTCCTAATGTCAAAGGTGGTTCTAAGTACCTTAGCTTTAGAATAGCTTTTTTCATGAAATGCATCTACAAATCCAGAGGTGGAACAAGAAAACTAAAGGTCCAGAGCAGGCCATGACCACCACTGCTGAGTTAGACCTAATTATTTTTTACCTTGTCACAGAGTAAACTGCGGTTTTGTCTTGTTCAGACAGAATAGAAAGCTGGCTTAATTCAAAAATTGAAACTTTCAACCAGCTGTTATCTGCAAAGGAGCAAGAGGGAGAGGGAGAGTATTTGACCACATAACAAAACATTTTCAGATTGGAAGCAGAATCCATACTTCTTAACACAGCCTAAAAATGGGATTTTCTTTTTAGAATTAGGCATAACAAAAATGAATGGTATCTTAGGCAGAAAAAAAGGGCTGCTATTTCCTTGCATTTCCTCTCACCTACCCAGGAAAAAATAGCAACACCATTCTTATATAATTAGGGTAGGGGAACTAAGTCAACAGCTGTGGGCTTCAAGGCAGAGGAAAGGAGCTGTAACATCTTAAGCACAAATACATTTGACTCGGGACAAGCTGAATGCAAACATGTATGATCCCATTCTCTGGGACTTGCGGAGCAGCAGCTGTGGGCTTCAAAGCAGAGGAAAGGAGCTGTACCATCTTAAGCACAAATGCATTTGACTCTGGACAAACTGAATGCAAACATGTATGATCCCATTCTCCAAATATGACAATTAGAAGGTGGGGGTGGGAGGAGTGTTTGAGATGAGTTGTACAAGACATGTTTAAGTTGACAGTTGTAGATGCAGAATCCTGGAACAGCAGAGAGGTTGCTTTACCTAGAAAACAATACTTCAGTGCCAGGGTGGTGGTTTCTTAAAAATACTTTACTACAAGAACATATTCTTAAACATTCAAACTTTTATTTCATTTACAGCGTCCAAGTTCTACTCAGTAGGACATAAATATCTTCTGAGGCTGCCTTGGGAATATCATTGAAAAGCAGTCTCTGAAAATGTTTACTATCAACAGGGGTACTGAAAGCAATTTTCTGTTGTTCTGAAGAGTCCTTTGGATCAAACCAAAGGCTCTTGTATCTCTTCCAATTTTAACAGTGGCCAGCCACTGGTAATGTCTTGTATACTTCAAAAAAACAACACATGACCTGCTAAATCATTTTCTTTCTTCCTTTTTTTCCACAATTTGAAAGGTTTGGCAGCTGAATGTTTGGTAACAGGACCATTATTTCCATCTATGCTTCTTAATATGCAGGTCTGGTGGTTCTTTATTTTAGAAAAATAATCTGTATTGTCTCTTAAACACAACAGAACACAGTCTTGCTAATATATTTCTGTTGTTCCTCTATTGTCCCACAAAAAAGGACTCCTGTATGAACGAACAGAATCTTAGTATTACAGGCAGGTTAGCACCTTTTGTTTTAAAATATTTGTACCAGAAGGACAAAACATTCATACATGTCAGTAAAGTAACAAAACCACCACCACAGTTCCTTTTTACATATCTTTGTGTATCTTTACAACATATGCCATGGTTATACTATTATCAATAGTGAAAGAAGAAACTAGCTTTTTATAAAAAGAAATGATTCTTTGCTAAATATTGCCAGTTCCATAGCACAAATTTAAAGTGTTCATGTCAGGATTTAAGTGCCTTGAGTTTTTAAGGTTACGTTTAAATATCACTACCAAAATTAATACTAGGCTGTGATACCAACTTTACCCATATGTATATGTCTTCTCAGCCTGTCCACTGTAAATTCAGAGTTGTTTTAATGAACCTCTTTTGCCTTTTGACCAGTCTGAGTAAACATTTTTGAAAGTCAAATTTGGTTCAACTTAGATTTGTTATCAGTTCTGTCTGTATTTCTCTAACTTCATATGACTTGAAGGTATGTTACTGTGGAATCACTGCCAAGCTGATTCTTAGCCATGCACTTGTATGTTCCAGAATCTGATGATTTTGGATTTTGGATTGTTAATGTTCCTAGAGGATGAAGATGTTTGCTTCCAGATGGCTGACCTTTGCTGCCTGTGGAAAGCAATGAGTGATCAGGCAGTTCCCATGTAATTTCTGGATTTGGTATTCCCAGTGCCATACAGTGAAGCTGAACTGCTGCCCCAGCCTTTGTGTGAATATTCTGTGGCTGTCTATTTGTAATCCGTGGTGGATGTGCGACAATAATGACAAAGGCAACTACTGTTGAATCACCAACATAGTTGTGAGCTTTGCATGTATAACTGCCTCTATCATTAATGGTGGCTTCTTTGATAACTAAGGTACCATTTTCCAGTAGGATGTATTTTCCATTAATTTGAGGCTGATTTATGACAAAGCCACTAGGAACTGTCCATATAATGTTTGGCTTGGGGATTCCACCAGCAAGACAGTGAAGAGATAATGATTCCCCAATAATGGTTTTAATTACTTCTCTTGGATGGATAAAAATTGTGGGTTTCTGGCCAATTTCCAGCACAATCAACTTTTCAATGTAGCCAACTTTATTTTTAGCAGCACATCGGTACTTGCCAGCATCTGCTTTAGAAGGAAAATTGATTACAAGAGTCCCATTGCTTCCCAAGGAGTACTTTAATGTTTGGAGTCCACTGGTGATGCGTGTACCATTTGGTAAGATCCAGATTATCTCAGGAGGTGGGTTTCCATCTACAGAGCAATTCAAGAAGATGGTTCTTCCAGGCTTTGCTATTACTTTCTCATTAAATGGATTTCTGAACACTGGGCGTCTTAGCATCTCTAACACCTCTAGCTGGACAACCAGTATGCTTTCTCCCCCATCATTACGTGCCACACATATAAACTCTGCTGAATCTGAAGATCTTACATTACGGATTTCAAGAGTCCCATTTTTGTACACTGTTATTCTGCTCCCATAATATGGCGCTGTTAGGAAAATGTTATCAGGCATAATCCACATGGTTTGGGGTATAGGTGTCCCTTCAGCTCTGCAGTCTATTTGCTTCCTTGAGTACTTTATGGCTGTCATTTTAATGAGTGTCTTGTTGGAATATATCCCATTGATGAGAGGTGGTTTAGAGACCACGTCTAATTTATAAAGTTTTGTGTCATCTCCACCAGAGTTGCGTGCAACACAAATGTATTCTCCAGCATCTATCAGTCTTACCTTGCTGACAGAGAGAGACCCATTACCATGAAGGATATATCTTTGAGTTGAAGCTGTTATCATGTCGTTGGAAGGCAGCAACCAAAATATTTTGGGCTTAGGTTCCCCTAAGGCATTGCAGTCAAAGTGTGCAGTTTCTCCTGCTTTTATCTTTGCATATGCCTTAGAATTCTGCTTGATACGAGGTGCAGCTGCTACTATTGTTATGTGCACTTTCATCTCATCTTTCCCAAGTGTGTTTTGAGCATAACATGTATAGTCCCCTTCTTCCGCTATTCCAACCTTGTTGAAATATAGAGTACCATTGTCAAAGAGAGTATATCTCCGAGACCTGTGTCCACTGTCATCTGCTTGCATCACATTGTTGATCACTGTACCGTCTGGCAAACTCCATGATATTTCTGGTTCAGGTGACCCAGAAGCTTTGCAATCCACTTTGAAGTCTTTCCCATAAGGTACTGATTTCTTAAAATACAGCTTCTGATCAATTTTTGCAGGTTTCATTGTCACACTGACTTTCATAAGGACCAAATCATCTCCCATTTTGTTTCTTGCCACACATATGTAGTCACCTGCATCTTTCTCTGTGAGTGCCTCGACAGTCAAGGAACCATTGGGATACACATGGATTCGACTCCCCATTCTTGAAAAAGATAGGAGAAAATAACTGGTTAGTAAATATCTGCGCCAAGCAATGCTAAGATGCTGATGGTAAAGCTACTAATTCTCAGGTGGGATAGTTGGGTTTAAAAAGCAATTAGGATAAGACTACTTTGAGCAGATGTCCTTTGGAAGCTCATCTGTGGCCCAGATACGTCTTTCCAGTGGTATGACATTGCATTGTTCTGGTAAATTAAAATTCTGTTTTAATCTATCCTACTAGTTATTGCATCTGTTGAATGTTTATATTATCTTATTCTTATTGTGTGTAAATATTGTGTTGTTTGCCTTTTTGTTGTTAGCCACCCAGAGTGGCCTGGCTGCCAGATGGTGCGGGGGTATAAATCTTATAAAGAAGAAACCAGGGGGGCAGTGGGGTTTCTTTGACAAAGTCCCAAAAGAAGAAACCAGGGGGGCAGTGGGGTTTCTTTGACAAAATCCCTTTTTTACCTTCAGCGCCTTCCCTGGACTCTATATCACTTGCCCATCCCATTTGATTTCATTGGGTAGGTATTAACCAGAGCAGCATGAGGCCATCTTAAGGAAAATGTGACAGGGAGGAAGCTGTATTATTATCTGTGATGGCGGCAAAAATTTTTCTACCATGACCTCTCAAAAATGTAACTTTTGAAACTCCTAGAAAAGGTGCTGAACACTGAATAGATGCACACAGCCAAAATTTCTCAAGACTTTTTTTCTGAGAAATATTCTGATATTTTTCTTTTAGAAAATACAACTTTGCAGAATTATTTCCAAAATTTCTCCACTTTTTAAAGGATGTTTGTGAGACTGCCTCTCTGCTATCACTACTAATGCCCTAACACTAGAAAAAAAAGTATTATGGAGGAAGCAAAATTGTGGCCAGAGTCTCAATAAAATTGCTGCTGTTACCACTTGCAGCAACTGGAAATACAGGGGAGGAATCACTTAGAAAAAGGGCCACTACTATGTTACAATCACTGCTTATGGTAACCTCCCCTCCAGTCTCTGAGAAATTTTTGGACAATGTTTCTTTCCTCTAGAAAAATTCAGTGACTGTTTCCCCACATTTCTCTATACAAACGTAGATTGGAAATTTTTAAGAGGTCCGTTATGTGCAATTGTGGTGCTGGAGGAGACTCTTGAGAGTCCCCTGGACTGCAAGGAAATCAAACCTATCCATTCTAAAGGAAATCAACCCTGAGTGTTCACTGGAAGGACAGATTCTGAAGCAGAGGCTCCAATACTTTGGCCATCTGATGAGAAAAGAAGACTCCCTGGAAAAGACCCTGATGTTGGGAAGTGTGAAGGTACGAGGAGAAGGGGACGACAGAGGATGAGATGGTTGGACAGTGTCATCGAAGCTACCAACATGAATTTGACCCAACTCTTGGGAGTCTGTGAAAGACAGGAGGGCCTGGCATTCTCTGGCCCATGGGTCAGAAAAAGTCGGACACGAATAAACAACTAAACAACAACAATGCACAACTGTATTACAAACACAGCAAGACTCCAAATTTGTCTCATATCTGAAAACATTGTATTTCAAGTATCTTCAGCTAAGCCAAAATGATGATCTCTCTACCTATGTCTTGATGAATAAACATGATGTGCTACTATGCACAAACTGTTAATGAATGGGAGTGGTACTTTCCTCAGACCTTAATTCATCACTCTTCCTTCCACTATTTGGCTAGCCATTCTGGCTTATTCACTAGTTTCCAAAGGTGTAGCCCAGCTAGGTTAGTCAATGGTTTGGAGACTGCAGAACCCCTGCAAATATTTTACAGTTGTATCTTAAAATTTTCCTCAAAATTCCACATGTAATATAAAGAGGAAGCCCCCCCCCCAAATTTCAGGTATTAACTTAAAGCAAAATTGTATTAATTTCCCACCAAAAAATCCTGACATTTTGCCTGCACAAAATTTCAATGCTTACCTCAAAATTTCACTTAATCTGAATTTCACTTGTAAGTGAACTATGATAGCAACTCAAGTTAAACATGAGAACCAATATGAGGCTAAACCTTGTCTTGACCTAACATTTCTGCACCTATTTTATACTCCCAGAACATGATCTGGAGGTATTTAATGCAGTAGCTACCTCATTGAATTTAAGCATGAGAGGGTCTGGGCATCAGTTGAATGGAAACCTAACAGTTGCTTATTAGTGGAAGAAAGCTGTGCAGCAAAATAATGGATAATTGTTTGGTTTTTTTAAAAAAAAATTCTGTGCATATTAGCTATTCTATTTAAATTACATTCCAAGGTATATCAAAGAAACATCAACTGTATGGGGTGAAATTCCCCAACTGTAGGGCAGTACAGAACAGGCTACCACAGTGGCAAATAAGCAATTTTGCAAGAAATGTGGCAAGAAAAACTGTTTGTATAGCTTCTGTTCATGCTAAAATTAAGCCATTTTTTCCATTTTATTGCAAACCACAATTTTAATGGAAAAGTTGGTATTTGTGAGGGAGTGTACATATGTACACACATGTGAATGCCCATGTGTAAGAACTTACAGAAGTCTCTTTTGGGATGGAAAAGTGACAGGAATGAAGGTAGAGGCAGTCTGAAATTGTAGAGCACATGGAAAGGATTTACCAGTGCCCCCTTGTCCTCACTAGCATTCATACCTGTAAAACAGCCCTGACTTCATGTTTGGTGGAGAACTGGTTAACTGATGAAAAAATGAGTCAGCTTCTGGGATTTTCCCTTGTTTGATGTCACTTTCTGAGTGGTAGTGAGCACAAGACATTATCCAATGTAGAGCATCTTGGCTGCTGTTGTTGGTATTGTCAACATTCAGGCTGTTATTTGCTATGCACTTATTATATTTGGATCTCTTCTTCAAATCTGTGTTTGTGTTTTAGCCCATTCCCCTTTCTCAACTAAAAATACAACTTAGAAGAGACATACCTGTGCCACTGGTCAACAACAGCTCTGGAAGGTAGCCTCCAGATTATTTTAGGCTTTGGTGTTCCTGTAGCTGAGCAATTCAGAAGCAATCTGTCTCCAAAATTCAGCTGAGTCAACCTTTGAGAGGCAACTGCAATTCTGGGAATTGTATCTGTATGTTCTACCTGGAGGGTTACTACTCTCCTTTCTGAGCCAGTGGAGCTGGTGGCTATACATTCATAATTCCCACTATCGGAAGGAGTGAGATTCCTGATGTAAAGGGTTCCATTAGGAAAGAGAAGAAGCTTCCCATTAATATACTGTAAAGGCTTGACTTCAGTTCCATCAAAGAGGACCCAATGCACGCTTGGATGGGGGTTTCCTTTGGCAGTGCAGGGGAGCTTCAGATTTCCCCCCATATTCTCCAGCACATGCTGTTTCTTCTCTTCCATTATGATGGGTGGTGCAGCTATGACCTGCAACCTTATTATTGTTGTATCTGAACCAGCTGGATTTTTTGCTATGCATGTGTAAATCCCTCTGTCAAAAACACTGGCTTTCTTGATCACCAGTGTACCATCTCTTTGCACAGAGACTGCCTCATTTCCCACAGAAGATTCTGAGACATATGTTTTGTTTGCAAGGATCCAGGATATTGTAGGAATGGGACGCCCCTCTGCTACACACTTCATGGTCACTGGCTTGCCTGAGTGAACAATAACAATCTTGGATTTTCTTCCCAAGATTCTAGGTGGATAGGTCACCACAGAGAGTGTGACAAGAAGTTTGTCAGAGCCATACTGATTTGTGGCCATGCATAGATACTGCCCACGATCTTGGATACTGGTGTTCTGGATGAAAAGAGTACCATTGGGAAAAACTTCAAGTTTGTTCTCCTTTTTGAGTTTTGGTGCATCAACCCCTGATTAAATAAAATGAAAATAAAATCAGCTATACCTCTATGGTAAAAAAAAGTCTTTTGCTTTACATGGTACAACAACAATTTGCTGACACAAGCATGTAACGTTGATAGGTGTGCGCCTTTCTTTTGATTTGATTTTCTTTTTGGGACTTCAATTCCCAGAATTCTCAAGAGTGCCTTGTTTCTACTGACACATGCCTACATTTCACTGACGTGGAACAGGGCCCATCTTCCAGCCTATCTCAGGCCTATTTCTTATGAAAAAGGAAACTCCCCAGTGCCTCCTGGAAGGCATAGGTCTTAATGGGAGTTGTAGTCTTACTGAGCATTAGGCTCTATTAGAGGGTTCCTCCAAAGAGCTACACCACCTTCAAACACCTAGGATTCTGAGGAAAAGAACTGAGGAAGTTTCCTTTTTGTACAGGAACTGCATCCCTAATGCTTGTTTATTTGGATTATTTACTGCAACTTCATACTCATAGTGCATAACTCCTTTTCCAGCTTTCACCCTTACCAAGAAGACTTACAGGGAGTGTACTATGTAGAACTGCAATCCTGTGCCAAGACAGGAACTTCATATGAGATGAAAATTACAATTCTTCCTTACATTTATAACCCCTCTTTCCCCTGAGAAGCTCCAGATGGCATACACAGTTCTTCCTGCCTGTTTCACCTAACAGTGTCACACAGCAAAGAATTAAGCTGAATGATACTAATTAGCCTAACACAACCCTACATGACTTATGGCTGACTGAAGATTTGAACCTGAGTCTCTGTGGTTGTAATCTAACCCTACACAACAGTGCCTGCTGCACTTTCACAATCTAATACTAGGGATGTAAATTTACATACCATGTTACATGTTACATACCATCCCTAATACTAGGGATGTAAATTTACATACCATGTTAATGTTGAACACATTATATATTAGCATATGTGTTGAACAGTGTAACAGGTCAGGCCTACCTTGTGATATCTTGGTCCACTGTATTGTTGGCTGAGGGTTACCACTGACTTCACAAGGGATGAAAGCATCTGAATTAGCCAGAACAGTAAATGCTGCAAGTTTCCCTCCAATTATCCTGGGGTTTGTGAATCTAGTTTGGTAGAATGAATGTAAGGCTATCAGATTACTGGTAGTAACTTCCTGATCTCTTGTTTTCTCTGACCAACTTTTGACATAATTGTTCGTTCTCCACGAAGGAGTATACTGAGTGGAGTTCAGTGGAGGTTTCAGTATGGTCAATACATTGACCCTGAAGGTTTTCCCACTTTCTGTGGTTTTAGAAAAAGGTTTTTGCCCAGATGTCTTCCTCCACCTGGGAGATGGAGTGGTTTGTGTGATGGTGGAATGTGGCAATGCCACACTTTGGGATATTGATAGTTTAGACTGTTGTGAAGTGTGGTATTCTTCATTAATAGGAGTTTGAATTTTTAACTCAGTTTTAACAGTAGCCTTTGTCATTTGCTTTTCTTGACTAGTTTTCCCTCCTACATTTTGAAATGATTCCTGATCCGCTAATGTAGTAACTTCTGTTGGTTTGGTAGACATTAGCGTCGATGCTGTGGTTGTGTTTATTGTATTCAGGAATGATGCCGTAAATGGAATCTCAAGCATAGGTTTTTCAGAAGCCAAATCATCCACTGATAGCTTAGCAGTGACAGTATTTTCAGCTGTGATATTCCTTGCCAATACCTGAGCAGTAGTTGTGAACTTATTCTTTCCAATAATATGTGTTGTGTGAATAATTGGTGGCTGTAGTGTAGCTGTAAATCCAGCCACACTGGTCAGCTTTGAAAACAAGGTACCAGTAGGCACAATTACTTGTTTAGGTGTTTCTAAAATAGAAAAAGTCACTGTTTCTCTCAACATGGTGCCTATTCCTTTATTGATGGTAACATTTCTTTCAGAAGGTGTTAACTTCTTAGAGGGTCTTTTCCGTTGACTTCTCCTTCTGCTTGATCCAAACACTTTGGATTTGGAAACATGAGCACTAGTAATTGGAATTAGAACTGGCATGATGCTAGTAGTATCAGCTCCTTTTTCCAGAGCAGCTGTAAAATTAAATACATAGGTGAAAGATGGTGATTTTGTTATGCTGAGTGGTAATGTGAGATTATGTTTTATTGTCACCATGTTGTCACTGACAGGCTTAATTATGTTCATGATATCATCAGTTTGGTTTTCACTAGATGAAACACCACCATCATGTACTGGTGAAGTTCTATACATTGGTGCTGTTGTTTGAGGAGGTATAACAGACACCACGGTCATGGATTCTTCACTTGTTTGTAAACTGTGATGCTTTCCCTGCAGTTCCTTTTGAACATGGTTGCTTCCTGAAGTACTGGAAGATGTGCTCATTTCAAAACGAGGAAAGCTTGATTTAATAGCCAATGGTGACACAGTAACTGTGGTAGCTTCCGTGCCATTTTTAGGGCTTGCAATTGTCAGAACTGGATGCTTGATCCTAAGTGGTGGGTTTGTGTCAATAGCTGATTGCAATAATGTACTAGTCTCTACTTGTGTATGTGATACAACTTGGGAGTTTTCAGGATAGAATGAAACCATTGTGGAAGTTATATGTTCTTCAGCTGTATCTAGCTTGTTCCTTGACAATGCCAAGACTTCATTAACAGTTGTTGATTCTGGATTATGAGTGTTGGATGAAGGGGAAACAGGTACTTGAGAGGTAATTTGTTCAAGATATTTGTTAGAAGAAGTTAAGGTGCTCACTTTTAATGGAGGAAGTCTGGTGCTTTCTTGAGCAAATCCTGATTTACGAAAAGGGAATTTACGGCCTGCCATGTTGAAAATACGGTCAGGTCTAACGATTCGTCTTCTACCAGAGAATTTTCTGCGTTTACCATACCGCCTAGAGGGTGGTGTATAAATTGCAGCACCCCTAACTGTCATAATCTGCTGATGACTGACAGTTGTTGAGCCTGCAGGTAGTTTGGGTGTCGTCATTTTGTGTGCGTTGTGAGTGATGTTTCTAAGTAGATCATCAGGTATGCTGACAGTCACTACAGAAACTTGATGATTTGATTTCCTTGATATCCTATCAGGTGCCTCTCCAAATAAAACAGGTTTATCGGTATTTTTGTGGGAAATTATAGAGTGACTATTTTTAGTAATGTTTATAGCAGTTGTTGGTGTGGCTTTTACATGTAAATTGCTTTCTTTAGGTAGTATCCATTTCTGAACGGCATTTAATGTTTTTGCTTTTCTCTCTATTAGTTTAGCTGATGATGTTGCTGAGTCCACATGGGTAGGTGGTGTTGGTAACCTCTGATATGGTTGGACATCCATACTTTCAGTATCATATTCAACATCCAAATATAATTTCTTGTTCTTGAGTCTCTCAAAAGATGTAACTATTAGGTTAGCTGCTGGAGTTACTGTTTCTCTAACCATATCAGCTGTTGCCACAGAGCTGTAATTACTTGATATGCTTCCAAGTTTTGCTGTTACTACATTTCCTGATGCTTCTCTTAGCCTGTACATTGCAGGTCTTTTAGTTGCTAGTAGCATAAATTCCTCCTCTGAAAATATATCATCTCCAGATGTCTCCTCCTCCTTTCCAGAAAGTTTTGAAGATAGAATCACTTTTACCATTGGTTTTACTGTGGCGTTTTCTTGTTTTCTTAGCAAAGTAGTGTTCTTCGTCTTTTCCAAAAGTTCTGCCCAGTGCAATGGATCAATTCTCCTTTTGGAGGAACCAAATTGTCTCTTGCGTCCTCTAAACCTTTTACTTATTTTGTCCCTGTTGTGTATGTAAATCTCTTTATAATTGCCTTTTTGTTTGCTTAAGATGGGAGGACTTAAAGCTGAAACTTCTCTGAATGCTTGACTGATAACTTTGGTTTGAATGGTAGTGGAAGAATCTGGAGGTTTTGTAGTAACATTATACTCTTCATGGCCAGACCCTTCAGCTGCCTCATCTTCTACTTGGATATCTAATTTCTGTGACACATTTGAACTCGTCTTAACCAGTACTTGATAAACCAAAAAATCTACACCATATTGATTGGCTGCTACACACTTGAAGTAACCATTATCCCGATCAGATGTCTCTTGTATTTTTAATGTACCATTCTGAAAAAGAAGCTTGTTTTTGGAAGAATGATAAAGAACCACGTGTTCAGGTAAGATCCAACTAACTGAAGCTTCAGGGGCGCCTCTGGACTGGCATGGAAGATAGAGTGTTTCACCAGGAAAAACTGAGAGCTGTGGTCCATTTAAATGATGTTGTTCTAAGTAAGGGTCTGTCACAATAATCCTAAAAGTCAGGACATCAGCATCATCATAATTTGTTGCAATACAGTGATAAACACCAGTGTCAAAAGTATCTGCAGTATGTAATAGGAGTTTTCCAGATTTTGCTATCATCATTCTTCCATCTTCACTAATGTATGGAGCTCTAATCTTGCTTCCATCTGCTAATACCCACTCAATTACAGGGGCTGGGTCTCCAAGTGCTTGACAGTCCAGTTCCACAGATCTGCCTACTAAAACAGTATACTCAGTTCTTGTGTTATTTCCCTGTAAGATCATGACCCAGTTCCGTCTTGCTGGTTTGGGGGCAGCAACTGGAAGAGTGATTTGAGCATTTAATAAATACTGGATCTGTAGAGTGTTCAGCGTGGTTACTGTCCTGTCCAACTGCAATGATACTTGTCCTTGCATCAGCCAAGGAGGCTCAGCTCTCAGTGTAGCCTCTATGCCAGTGAAAAGCTCTTCATTTTCAGAATCTGTCTGTTTGTACTTGTAACTGATATAAGGTACTTTTGTCAATAAGTTATCCCTTTTCAGTTTTAATGGAGAATCACTGTAGAGAGCCAATATGCTCCATGATGGCTGAATATGCTCGTAGTCAACACCGCACACAAGAAATGTTGAAAATGATATTGCAAGTACTGTGGTGTTAACCATCTTTTTAAGTGTGACTGGAGACATTTTTGTAGGGGATTGTACATTGCAAGCCAGGTTTGCCATATTCCCTGCCTGGTCGGTCATGTTTAATACCATGGATCCTATAGGAGCCATAAAATCTTTGGAGGAAATTGAAGTAAAGTCTCCATCATCAGGCACAGTGATATTCTTAATTTTCAAGGTGGTGTCTATAGTTGGTTTAACACACTCAAAATATGAAAGTGGCATTTTAGCTAATGTTTTTTCTTTAGAGGTCTTGAGGTTGGCACACAAAGGACACTGCAGAGCACCGGGAAAACCTCTGTCTTTTTTGCACTTTACAATATCTGAGGGAAAAGAAGAGATATAACAAGTAAAATAGATTGTTTGAGGGAAGGTAATTTTTTTTGTTTTGCTTGATTCTGATATAAAAGCAACAATTCCTATTTTGCTGGTATTGCCGCTGCCTAAGAAATAAGCCAAACTTCAGTTATCACTTAAAATTGTTTTGGAACCAGGAGATCTTTTGACAATTTACAGCTGGTACAGAATGAACTTGCAAAAGAGCAGAACCAGAAAAAAGGGGATCAACACTAGGGCGAGAGGATTGCACATATCAACATTGGGAACAGATGCAGGATCAGGCAAGGCAGAGTTGAGCTGTGACAGGTATTTTATGCTAAAGCCTGACATCAGTCCTCATATCATATCTGGTGTTCTTGGTTTATTGCTTTATTTTCATGTTCTTGGTTTTATACCCTTACTGAAGAGTTACGTGAATGGATCATTGTATTCAATGATATAAACACATCAGTGTTTTCATGAAAGTATGTTTTAATGAATAACTAAATAGCTAGCTTTAAAAACTGTGTTAAAGTTGTACTTCTGTTTTTTAAAATACAATATTTCATGGTATATAACCATTTTGGTCCTCTTTGTACACAATATAATTCCTTTTGTTAAGGACCTTCAGACATGGACAAACACACACACACGCACACACACAGAGAGAGAGAGAGAGAGAGAGAGAGAGAGAGAGAGAATTACCAGAGAAAGGTGAGGTAGAGCAAGGGGAGACAGCAGCAAGTGCGGTGAAAGAAGGGAAAGAAAAAGATGGGGGAGACAGTGAAATAGTTAGATGTCCAGGGCATAAAGGCAGTCCTAATGGAGGTGGAGGAGGAACAAGTTGAAAGGGGGAGAAGGAACAGCCCTCTGACTGGGAGGAAGAAGGGGCTTGGGGAGATGCTCAAGAGAATATGGAGGAAGTCTATAACACTGAAGAAATCCCCAGAGCTGAAGGGTGAATGGGATTGTGTGATCATAGAAGATCCATGGACTGGAGCTTTGGTTGAGCAAAGGGTGCCCAGGGCCAATGGGGAGGAACATCATCACCCTGTACCAACGTATTGCCCTAGCTACCAGGGCAGTGAGAGATGAGTGCAGCAACCCCAAACAAGGCCTAGCACAATGTAGCCAAACCCTACACAGCTCCGATGCTGGTGAAGGAAGACAAAAAGAACACCAGAGGAAGCTTCAACAACAACATCAAGCCAATCCAGTCTAACCAGTGGCCCAGAGAAGGACAAAAGAGAACCAAGGACCCTGCCCTCATTTCAGGCATACCGTCCTCATTACTTTGGCCCTCCAGATTTACGGTGCACACCCACAAGAAAAGCTTATGCCACCCTTGCTGTGGGACAGGTGAATACAACTAGCCTTGTAGCTAAATCTCTGTTGGAATCATCTGTTGGCTACTTATTTGAAACACCTGCTCTGAAAACAATAAACCCTCCTTTTTTTTTTGAATCAATCAGTGATGGATCAGGAAGTGGAGGCAACCTGGGCAGGATCAGTGGGGCTCACACATATAGCCTCGGTGAACAGATTGCATTAAAAAATGTACATGATTGTGGAAAACAGCTTAAAATCCCTCAATTCTGGTCCAAGAATCTTGCTTTTCTCACTTAGGAAATGGCCTGTTATGTCTCACCTATCTGCCAGACACCCAGCCTGTATACTTCTCCCTTGATGTGTTTATATCTGGAGAAGAAATGTCTTCCACTTTACACAGCCTACTGGCCTATCTTCCCAGATGCTTCTTCACTATGCAGGTATTTCAAGCACTACTTCTCACTAGAGAATTATCATTCCACAGTTGATAAAGACATTCTCCCAAATGTACAGGGATAAACCTATGATTTATTCCATAGGTACATAAGTATTTAGAGACCGTCATTAAAGTTTTCAAGAATAAGCTACACAGAAAGTAAATTTTATTACTTTCAGTTGCAATGTATTTCATCATATTAAGCTTCTTAATCTTGAATTCAAATTTTAACCAAACACTTGAGAATCCCCCCACCCCAATTTTCCTGATGTGCAAGATTATTCAGAGATGCTGCATGCCTTACCCAAGGGAGAGCAAGGATATAAATGACTGAATTCATCCAGTAGTGAATGGAGACAACCCCCATCCCAGGTAAACACTCCCATCCTAAGTCCCATTTAGCATTACTTAACCTCTCTTTCCTGCTACACCACTTTCTTCACATGAGGAATGACATGTCTGCCAAGGAGAGGTTTCTACCCATTTGCAAGAAGCCCCTCTGATTTTCTAGGATTACTGTTTGTGGAAAGAACCTATATAGTAGAAGGAATCTCTCCTGTGTAGGTGTGTCAATTTTCATGTGGAGGGGGAGTGATTACAGGACAAAGGCTAGGTTAAGGATATGCAACCTCTGGAGATCCCAGACTCCAGGCTGAAACATGCCAATCCCTGGATACCTACTCTTTTGTGCCGCATCCATTCCTTACTCATTCATTCATCTTTTTAAAAAGAGGGTGTTGTTTTTACACAGAAAAAAAGTCCCTTCATTCCCTCTTCTCATCAAAAATGTGGGTCATTGTTTTCTCCAGTTTTATGTAAAATGCTTTGCATGCTTTGTCAGCTGAACAGCAAAGAAACAAAAGAAAAGTGCTGTATCTAAATAGAACAATATTCAATACCTGGGTGCTGTTCTGCCCACTCAGCAAACCATTTCAGTGCACAATCACAAATCCAGGAGTTCCCATGAAGGTAGACGCTTTCAAGCTCAGTCATATACGTGAAGATATCTTGTGGCAGAGAAGTAAGCAAATTATCAGACAAGTAGATATGCTTGATAGAGGATGTCTTAAATATTTGGAGGTAGCGCAAAGTGACAAATGTATCTGGGTGAAGTTGTTTAAGTACATTCCCTTCCAGATGAAGCAGCTTTAGAGATGTAAGACCATAGAAAGCTTTGGGGTTTACAAATTCAATCTGATTGTGATCCATATGCAGTCGTACCAACCCCACAAGACCATGAAATGTATCTGCTTGAATAACTTTAACTTTGTTATAGCTCATCTTTAAGACCTGTACAGAGAGAAAAGTGATAAATAAACTAAACCAATGGTTTGCACAGAGCTTGAAGAATTCAAATTAGTCATCTTCAAATGCTAGATTAATAGCACAATCATATTTATCCTTGTTAATTCATGTTGACTTGAATGTAAGTCCCACTATGTTGGAAAGAGGGTTAGGATATTAGCATAAAGCAAAAGGTCCATTTGCTCTATAATGAGAACCTCAGATTAGGCATCCTTCAGTCTCGAGAGCCTATGGTAATGTGCTCTGTATGGAGGACTTGGAACAGCATCTAGTGTGGCTGAGAAGGCCAATTCGAGAGTGACAGTCCCTTCCACACTGAAGACAAATACAATCTGTCCCCTTTGCAGCTCCCGATTTGGCTGGTTTCAGGTCTGCCTCTTTGCCTCAGCCTGCTGGACAAGGGTCTCTTTAAATTGGGAGAGGCCTCCAGGCTGAATGCTCGGAGAACCACTTTGAAAATAATAAGTAAAGAGGCTACAGTAAACCTTAATATTCCACTACCCAAAAGCGTACTTCTTCCCACAAGTGCCTTGACAGAAGAAATTTGACACAGCTCTAAACAAACAAGCAAACAAGCAAGCAAAGAAAGAAAGAAAGAAAGAAAGAAAGAAAGAAAGAAAGAAAGAAAGAAAGAAAGAAAGAAAGAAAGAAAGAAAGAATCATTCTTACCTGTAACGAATGCAAATCAGAGAATGTCCTATCTTGAATAGTATGTATCTGATTACTGTGTAACATCAACAACTCCAGCTTCTCCAGGCCAGAAAAATCTTTTTCAGTCAGTTTAATCAAACTGTTGTAACTGTAACAAACATTTCATTCCAGATCTGGGTTTAGTCAGTCAGCTATAGGTCAAAAGTAAAACAAACAAACAAAAACAGAGTCTCTCTTTTGCAAATGCATAAGTAGATTTTAATTAAAACTCACCATGTGAAGTTCAAAATGCCCTGCCTGACCAGAGTAATGGGAGGTGAAAATTTGGGTAATGGATCTTGTTACTGCTAGGAATATGGATTATTTCATTTCGTGTACATTTGTATCTATCTATCTATCTATCTATCTATCTATCTATCTATCTATCTATCTATCTATCTATCTATCTATCTATCTATCTATCTATCTATCTATCTATCTATCTATCTATCTATCTATCTA